CCCCCCCCCCGCAAGCCCGGTCGCGCCTGCCGCCCCGCGCATGCTCCGCCGTGGCGGGCTGGGCGCATGCGCGCGGCGAGCGGGGCGCTCCCGGGCGGGCCTCGCGTCGGTCCCGCGGGTTTCCGGCGCCAGAGCGGGGGCGGACCGCCGGGCTGCCTCACCGTGCGCCTGGGCTGGAGGCGCGTCGCCGCCAAGTCAAAAAATCCCCCCCACACACACACAAACCCTTTGCAAGGACTGCCCCGCCGGCAAGGGCCCGTTTGCGAGGCTGCGGCCGTGCAATTAGAGCATCTCGCCGCAGTCTGTTCCCTGCGCTGTTATTCTAGCCGGTTTGTGGTTTCGGGCCTTACGTGAAGATCAGCGTTGCGTCACTTGCACCCAATGCGCTCTCTGGCACTCAGGTTTAAGGAGTGCTCTGGCTTTGTGCTTTGCAATGTTTGGGTTGCGAGCAGGAAAGAGCAGGTGCGGCAGCGAGGTGCACGTGGTGCGGCCCAGATGTGAGGACTGGTGCTGGAGGGTTGCTCTCTCTGGAAGCCTCACAGATCTGGTGCCCTGCAGAAGGCTGATTTCTTTATGGCATTGCCAGAAATGTTTGCCCAAGTGACATCCACTCACTAATGCTGCCCATGCAGATGACATGCAAGTATTTCCTAGATGTTCTTGTAACCATCAGTACAAACAACTTTGTTCCCGATGGCTTTGGCCAGCCCAGCATGGTGACCTTCCACCCACCACTGAAATAGAAGCAGCTTTTTGGAAGAACTCTTGTGACCCTGGAGGATGCATGCCACTTCTTGCAGTCCGGGAATTCCATCCACAGGGGTAGTGTTCTGGGATGGTCGCCCTGATAGGCGCAGCCTATCTGGAAAACTGGAAGCTGGAATGCCTGATAAAAATGTGAGAATATTTATCCTTGTTTTGCAAATGTTTTCCATGCATGCCGCTGTGTCTCTCACTTGTGGGAGTGATGTATACACAAGCACGCATGGATGTATCTATGCATACATTTGTATTTTCTAGAACTATGTGTTCTATGACTGTGAGAACTGGACCACAAGGAAACCAAGCACCAAAGCATTGATGCTTTTGAATTGTGTTGGAGAAGACTTCAGAGCGTCCCTTGGACTGCAAAGAAATCAAATCAGTCGATCCTAAAGGAAATCAACCCCGGCTGTCTAGAAAGACAGGTACTGAAGCTGAAGTTCGAATACTTTGGCCACCTAATGAGAAAAATGGACTCACTGGAGAAGACCCTGATGCCAGGAACGATTGCTGGCAAAAGGAGAAGGGGACAGCAGAGGATGAGATGGTTAAGTAGCGTCACTGATGCAATGAGCATGAATTTGGGTGGACTCTGGGAGGCGGGGAGGATGGGGGGCTGCTGTGCCATCCATGGGGTCGCAAGGAGTCGGGCATGGCTCTGAGACTGAACAACAGCAACAAGAACTCTGAGAATGCTTTTGCTTTGAAGTGCAGGTCACAGAACCATTGAATAGTAGAGCTGGAAGGGGCCTATAAAACCACAGATACTCTAATTTCTCTAGTACGTGTGATGTGCAGATATCTCAAAATCAATTCTACCGCTGTGCAGGATCCAGCATGACCAGTGTGTTTGGGACATGTGGAAGTACCGCGAGACAGTCCTTCAGTCCTGCGAGCATCTACGATGCGCACTGCATTTGGGGGAAAGCGCCATTATAACCGCCAGCCACCGGGGCTTTGGCATCCTTGCTTTCTAAACGGCGGTTGTGCATCCGTGCAACGCTCCAAGGGACAACCCTCCCTCTTCTGTTGTGCTGTGTACCACGGCAGCAGAAGCAGAGCCAGCCGCCCAAGCATCCCATCCTTGCCCCACTGTCCTGTCCCCGTGTTCCGGGGTGCTTTTGCCTACCCCCTGCCCCACTGCATGCAGGAGTACCTGTTAGAACATAGGCTTAGTGTGGGTGCTGCCACCGGATTTCCTACTTCAATGGGCCTCCAAGGATGGGACACACTTCTACAGCTGGGAGGGTGCAGACTGGTCCAACCTGCTTGGCCTGACCATTCTAGAAGTGCCATGCGGGGGACATGAAGGGGGGCAAGATGAGAAGCAGGGAAATCAGGGAAGCATGTCGCCATCTACCCACTTATTCCAGGACCAGCTCTACAGACAGTCTGAAGCACTCCAGTGTGGAAGCAAGCTTTTCCGGCCCTTCCGACCGGAGATCTTTTAATGCGATTTGCCAGGGCTTGTCTCTGGATCCACCGGGAGACAAATTTTGTGCTAAACTGCTATGCTGGATTATTCCAAAAATGCGTCACAAGTCAACTACAGGAAGGCCTGAGGAGACGGAGGGCGGCGAAAGGCAGCTGAATCTCGCTGCTTCCTAACTAGATCAGTTTCTCCAACAGAGAAGCTTTTTTATGGCTCAAAATTAGCCTTGTCAAGCAGCGTACGCATGTTGAGCCCTCCCCCCCCATCCTCCCCAGCAGTTTAAGATCTTCTGAGGGCCTCCTTGGAGCCCTGATAGTAAAGGCTTCCCTAGGTGAAGTTTATTCAACTTCCTTTTTGGAAAGCTGAAATCGTTCTTCTTTGCAGAAAACCTTTGATTTTAAAAGCTGCTTGGCCCTTATTTGCAATCTTGCCTGCTGTTATACAGAACGTAGCATTCATTCTTTTGAAATTCTTCCAAAATTTTACAAAATGGCAGTAGAAAGAGCTTTTAAATAAATTTTAGAAACCAGAAATGTGTGTCGCAATCCATTTAACCAGATTTTCAAAGATCTTAAGCAAGTGGATAAGATAGTATGTATCTGTTTATTTCAGAAGGAAGATCAAGTGAGTACCCTTTAAGGGAGACATCTCTCATAAATGTACAAGAAAATCAACCATTGCTTCTAACAGCATACAAAAATACACATCTTCATGACTTCCATACAATAATAAATAGGTAACCATGTATCCAGTAATAAAAAGGCACAGAAAACTGGTCACTTAAGGAGTCATAAAATTACTATTAACAGAACCACCCAAATATTCTGTACACAGAAATGTAACAATATATCCCAAAGGTGCAAAACACATAAAACATCTTTCAAAATAGTATATGCAATAAATATCTCAAAGGTATATATTAAAAATAAACCTGTGCCATTGTAAACAGTATGTAAACAAACAAAACTCACGGTCCTTAGAAACAACTAAAAGTAGATAAAACCCAATCTTACAACATTTTCTGCTCAACAGATTCCTTGGGCAAGTTTGATAGGCGTTTAAAGATGTTCTTTTTATGATACATGCATGGTGATCCAGTGCTGAGCTCCTTTCTAACCTGAAGAGGGTCTGGTCTGGCACAGAAGCTTTGGGAACTGCTGATCATGGGAAATGCCATATGGATCTCCCACTGAATGCTTCATTGGCGGCGTCCCTTAGGTACAGAGCTGACGTGCAATGCATTTATCAGTATCAATAAACGTGGAAGAAATTAAACCAGTCTTTGCAGCAAGTGCGGTTTAACGTAGGAAATCTCCTAATCGCATACATGGCGCTCACCATCCAGACATGCCCAAGTCCCATTGATTCCAAATTATACTTCTTGATCTGACTCTCTCTTATACAGAAAGGACGACAAACCCGATGCCCCATTCTCCAAATAGGAAAACACAGATATGTTTACAACCATGCAGCCTGGGGAGAGATGCATGTCCCGTGAGTTACAGGGAATGCTCTCTCTAAAAGGGAGATCCAGTCAGGCAAAACCACTTTTTAAACATTTACACGTGCATTTTAATTTGGCCAAATTGGGCTTTTATCCGCTGCTTTTACCAGTGCTTTTCTCTTTTGCTACCTCACCCTGAAGATCTAACAAGATAATGGACACTATAGAAATGTTCTAATGAATGAAAAAAATATTTCTCTAATTCGGCTTGAATTGTCTTCACATACGTACTTTCTGATTGACCTAATGGTATTTTAAAAAATACAGATCAGTATATTCACAGTAATAAAACCCCTTGGACAAATTTTAAATGAAAAAGGATGCATCTGCTTGACAGTCTCTTGCTAATCAGTCTTAGACCCACCAACATCAGGATGACAGAAGGATTAAAATGCAGGAGAAAAGAAGCATCAACATTTGTAGAATTTCTTCCAACCAAGCCCCACGGGAGTTTCCTGATGATACACCAGGCCGAAGTAGAACAACATCACTCTCTGATAATTATGGGCAGTTGCATAGGACTGTGGATTGTCAAGTCCCTGAGATCAGTGAGGAGTTCTTGTGAGAGGGCGTTTGTTTTGTTTGACTGAAAGGAACGGGAAATGCAGATGAGAGAGCTGTGTGCAATGGGCCAAATCTATCCCCACTGACGTTTATGTGGCCCATCACTTGTGCAACAGGAGTTGGCACTTCCAAAAGAACTGAACAAACACACTTGTTTCCAGCTTGTGGCATGCCCAACAGATTCTCTGTCCCTGTGACTCTACAGTACGTTGCATAATGGCCACCCCAAAGCAGAACTGGCTTCCTACTGTTAGTATTTCTGCACATGAGCAATTTATTAACAGCAGTTACTTCAGCAGTTCTCTGCTTCTAACTTCATATGGGAGTGAGATGCTAACCTTATCCATGAGCAACAAATGTTGAAGGCGCATTTAACGCACAACCTATCCTATATTGGTTTATGCTGATTAAACTTCCACCATGCACGTGCCCTAAAAGGATTTAGGTAGCAATAATGTTATCATATGCTGAGCCGGAAATGGTTTTTTCCCCACAATTGAAGCTAACCTCTCATCAGTCCAGTGTTGTGCATTTGTGACAACACCACAAATACTCAGATAGGTTCACAAAAATCTAGAATAAATGTTACACACATGCCATCAACTAACAAGTGATTGCTGAATGCTCATTAGATACACTTAGGAGCTCAAGCAGTTGAAGGAAAATCAGTTTTAACTAGGCAAAAGTCAACTAGGAAGACTCACTCCTCGTCTAGCCATCCACAGCCATTCCATGTTTGCTAAGGAAGAAGTATTTTCTGGCACATCATTTCCTGAATAGTTTCGAATTAAAATTGGAAGTAGCTAATCAGGAACATTTTGCAATAGCTCACAGTACTATGATCTTCCCACATGTATTTAAATATGCCGGGCATGATCTACTGAGAACCCTTAATATCACTGCAAAAGACTTTTCACGTTGAAGTCCGCGAGAGAAGTATAGCTTGCTTTGGTTGGACCATGCCCTTATTATATGCATTCCTGAAAATTGTTTGCAGAATATTTGGTAAATTTCTAGTACATGTCTTAAGTATATGGGCATTTAAAGATACCTCTTAAAGTGCTTCTTGGAACTCAGCTGAGTAAAAATGTTTTTTTCAGTGCAGGGAAACGAGTAAATAGAGAAATGTTTTTGGAGACCATAACAAGAAATAGTTTTACTCCACTTGATGATATGACACATTTTTCACAGAACACTTGGTAGGATGTGTCGGGGTTCCCCTTTCCTATGTTATATGGTGGAATGTGTGAAGCACAGAACAGTGTCAGACTCCGCAGGTTACAAAACAACCCGATAGCAATTTCATATTGGGAAAAGCAGCTCTCTGTCAGTTTCCTGAGAAAAACTACTCTAGAAAACACAGTAAGCAGCAGAATCAAAACCTATGTGACATTTTAGGTAGCAATAGTCAAAAGCGCTCTTGACTGCATGCTCTAGAAATGTATAAAGATTCAGACCTGGCATGAGGAACCTGCAGCAAACAGACCAAAGCAGTCCCACAGACAGAGGGCCGCAATCCACCTGGAAGTTTCTTCTCAGGCTCCTCTTGCCCCTGCCCCCCGGAGCAAAAGACAGCCCCCCTTGTGGTGGAAGAGGAAAATTTCACTCATATTCCTAATGATTAATTGCTCCGTGTCTAATTGCACAGAGAACGGGTTTACATTTGAAACAACCGCATTCCAATCCTGCATGCAAAATGTACCTGTATTTACCAAAATCCATAGGTGGGGGTGCCGATTCCTGCTTAAGCCTGCCCTGTGAACATCTGGGCACATCAGTCCCCGGCAGGCCTTGGGACGAGACCGACAACGGACCGTTCACTGCTGCCCATGTCCTCCCAGGTCCTGCTGGCCGGGGAGAAAGCAACCAGGAGGCAGGGAACACTCTGCATTGACATTTCCCCCTCCCCTTGACAAGAATGGGAGGGGGCTTGATGCATGAGGATGGGACAGCTCCCGTGCAGCCAAGGCCAGCTGCCCCCTGCCCCATCTCTGCAACGGGGCTGCTGCAGTGGATCCCACCTGGTGGCGCTCCTTTCTGCCATGAAAGATCAGCCGAAAGTCACTGATCTGCAGTCCTGGCCCTAAAGCATGAGTGTCTCGCTAGAGCTGGCCATAGCTGAAGCCAGGCCTGTCTTCGCATCCCCTTCTCTACGAGGGTCAGAAAAAGGAACGGGGACAGGGTACTCAGTGCCCACGTGGGCGGGCGGGCAGGCGGGCACGAATCCCATTTTCCATCACTGTCATGCCAGTGCTCATGAGATAAAGGCTTCACCTCCGTTCTCTAATATTTAGATGCACTCAGGATCCTATTCAAAGTTAACTGTGCGCATCAGGCATTTGCAGAACCAGAGTATATGCAAAATGTAAGCATTCGCTGTGATGTGTACTCTTTCCAGAGCTCTTTAGAAAGGGTCAGACTGTCCCTGCTGTCTTATTAATCTTTGGATATGCTGCCATATTTGTTATATATTATGACTGTCCTGAGTAGTCAGTAGAAAGGCATGGTGAAAATTTTAGAAATGAAAACAATGAACAAATGAGCATACATTGCATATAAACAAGCAAATGTAAAATCACTGTTCTTGCCATATCAGGTTCAGGTTTCAATCCTATATATCCTTACATATCCTCTGGAATTTACTACCAGAGGAAGCAGTGAGGGCTGCCAACCTGGATGGCTTCGAAGAGGGACTGGACACCTGGCAAGGGAGGCGGCCTTTGGTGGCTGAGCCTTGCTGGCCATGGGCTTCCTGCGTGACCAGAGGCGGCCGGCCTGCCTGCTCCGGTTGCCGAGGAGCTGGGCAGGAGGAGCTCTTGCACCCGTCCTGCGGGAGGGCATCTGCTGGGTGTTAGATGGACCTCCGATCTGCCCCGACCCTGCAGGACTTTTCTTCAGTACTTCTGTTCTAATATCCTGGATGGACAGAAAGACACACAAGGGGGTCTTGGATCAAATCAAGCCGGAGCTTTTCCAAGAAGCAAGGATGACAAAAATGTGGCTGTCACATTTCAGACACATCATGAGAAGCACGACTCCCTGGAGAAGACAAACGCAGAAGAAGAAGAAGAAGGGGAAGGCCCAGTATGAAATCGATCGAACCCGACAAGGAAGCGACAGCCTCAGACTTGGGGCAGCTGAACGGAGCTCTCATGGAGAGGATATTTTCAACAGCTTTCATCCAGAAGTTTGCCAGAAGTCGGAGACAACTTGATGGCGCATGACAATGACGACGACAACATATGCACAAGGGCATGTCCCAGGCCACCGATCACTTCATGTAAAGCAGTGATCTCAGACTCGTGCCAAACGTTCTGCTTAGAAAAGCAAGTGCTTCTCTTCAACAAAGCCAAACAAAACCGGATGCCAAGTTAACATGATATGTCTCACACGGTGCTGTCTCTCCGACAGCCACCGAAAGGCAACCTTCCTGCATTTCACTCCTCTTCACACAATGCATGCCGATTCAGCTACTTGGTATGTTTTGACAGCACAGCAAGAAGAGCTCAAAATAGACGCCTCTGTCTGGGGCAGGTTCACACACAGCACTAGATCCCAGTTCAAGAGAAAGTGCACGAGCTGGAATAAGTTCCAGTGAAACTATGGGCTTCCCCGCCCTCCCCTTCAGGAACATTTGGTCTTCCACAAATCCTGGCTTCTTTTTACTTCTGAGCTAAAGGTTGCACCTGCAAAGAAACTTGGGCCATTTTAAAAGCAGCATGCCTGCAAGCATATTTCCCGCAAAACCGCCTCCCCCAGTCCCCTTCTCAACCTCATTTTAAAGGGGAGACGGAGCTAGCTGTCAAAACTCTTCGCACCCCCCAGAAATAAGGTAGGATGCACTTTTGCACTTTCCCATGGAGCTAGCGTCTCGGGAAAATTGCAAATTGCACAAGACCTCAACGACACTCAGTGCAAAAAGGGAAAAGATTAGGATCTTACCAGAAAGGGTAATCTAGCTGCCACCGCCTTGTGAGAAAAGATGGCTTGCTCTTTTGCTTTTCCTTGACAGCTCCTTGTTTAAACAAACAGCTCCTTGTTTAAACAAACAGCTCCTTGTTTCCTTGCTTTTCCTTTGGCAGGTGTCACGAGAAAACCAATTAAGGAAAACCTTGTTTGGGTACCCCACCCTTGCCAAGGTTAAAGTGTAGGGTTGATACCACCTGCATTTTGGCAACAATTTCTAAATTTGCAAAACTACTTGGAATATGGAGCAGGAGGTGCCCATTCCTGCATGAGCTCATAACAATCACAGCTGCTGCAGCACAGGACAAGGAGAGGACGGCAGGGGATTCACATGCCACATCAGAGGACCTGGAAAGGGGATTCCCAGCAGGTACAAAACCCAGCTAAGCAGGCTGTTCATGTGCTGAAACAAGGACGGCCATCGCAATCGCCCTGCCTGCTTTTCAATCAGTAGATAATGAATAAAAATCCCATGCAGAGCATCAGACCAGGCTGGGATGGATTCCTAGGTTCACTGCAACGATCTTTAACATACTGAGTTTTGTAAAAGAGTTCTGTTTTAGTGTTTGCTATTGTCTGTTTTAGATGTTTTCATTTTTTAGAATTTTTCTGCTTTTATGGTATTTCTATTGTATTTTTATTGTCTGTTCCTACTGACTGTTGTAAACTGTCCAGAGAGCTTTGGCTATCAGGCAGTATAGAAATGAAATAAACAACAACTTAAAATGCAAAAGGCAACTGATCAACAGAATCAAGTGAGAATCCTCCAGTTGACTTGTGAAACGGGTACTTTAAGAGTAGGGAAACCTACAGGTTTTCTTGTGCAATCTAACTAGCCTCAGGTTTGTTTTGTTTAAACATTTTTTTTTAAATTACAAGTTTACCCAAACTAGCAAAAAATGTAATACAAAAAGTAAACATTGCACTATAAATACCAATTTCCATGCTCTATTTCATATTTTTTAGGTGTCCGTAATCAGCCCAGACGCTCGATTAGCAAAAGTCAAGAAATCATGATGGGGAGGCACTTTCTCATGGCTTGTCAAGGCAAGGGTGTTCTTCCCATAGGAGTTAATGGCAGCCATTCACTTCTGTGGGAGAAAAGGAGGGATGGACTCATGGGCGGTGAGGTGGAGACGAGCTATCCTTAGCCCTTCTGCCCCAGTTTCTTTGAAGGAAGAGGTCGGGCTCACCGCACCACGGTCAGTGCATCAATTTGACATTGTCCCATGGAAGTCAACAGAAGCCACTGAGGCTCAAGCCCAAATCTATCTGCATAACTCAGCCGGACTTCCATCTCTTCGTGATCCTGGAGTCCAGGAGATGAATTTGACATCCATAATAATGTAGCAATTTCTCCTGGCAATGAAACATCAGCTAAATTTATTCTATACTGACCCTTAAAATGCTTAAGGCAAACCCAAACCCAAAAAACCTTTGCAAATGTGTCCTGCAAGCTTGTCAGTTTCATTTGTTTAGGCTTTAAAATGTCTGTGGTAGCAAGAACTTGTTTACAGAGGGGCAAGCCAGGTGGCGTGCGTCACCTGCTTCTGATTGCAATTCTACACTCCCTCACCGTTGGCCATACCTGCTGGATTGGATAAGACTTATAGTCCAAAACCCATACAAAGCAACAGGCTGCCTGCCCTTAATTTATAGCTTCAAACCCCAGTCTAAAAGCGCTTTAAAGAGTTGTGGAAAAAATCTGACTCGGGCAACGTGGAAAAGCTACCGCTGCGATGCCAAGGGCAGTGGGCTCCGGAATAAGCCAGGCAGAAGCTGAGAAGCCGTGAAATTCAGTTCAAATTCCGTGGGAAGGCTGAGTGAGCACTCTCAGAGGGAAGGAGTGGACCAACATAATTCATGCAAGGGCCCAGTGTCAGGATAAGAGGGCTGACCTGTTGTCCGAAACTCCAAGCGACTGGCCTTAAGCAAGAGGTCCTGTCTTGACTATTGCTATTTCGCTATTGCTAAGGTTTGCTATTTTCCACCAGGCAGGGAACAGAGATATTCCGTTTGGGATGAACTTAAGCCATGGTTGTCCTTCTACGTGTTTCCCTCAGTAAGCCATGATTTATTGTTCAAGGATAGGTGTTCAAGGATAGGCTAGATGTGCACATGGTGGGCATGTCCTGAGCGGAGCTGGCTGGAGCTGGGGGTCAGACTAGATGGCCTGGGAGACCCCTTCTGACTCGCTCTGTTTCTATGTTTCTATTTCCTAATGGCCGACATTCTGCCTTTGCTTGCTTCTTTTGCTAGTGGCTTCGGCAGTACCTTCTATTTGCAGGCCAGTATCAGGCTGGACAGTCATGAGAAAGGTGTTTCCTTGGAAAGCCCCGTGTCCTGGCCTGCGTGGAGGAGAGGAGAGGAGAGGAGAGGAGAGGGCAGGTGCCACCAGGAGTCGTGCTGGATTAAACCGAGGGCCTTTGGTCCGGGCGTGTGCTCACACAGCGGCCACCCAGCTGCCCGTGGGAAACCCACAAGGAAGACAGGACCAGAAGGACACCCGCCTGCCCATGTTCCTCAGGAATACGGGCACATTGGCTCTGATCATGGAGGTGGCATTTAGCCGTGAGGACCAGCAGCTTTGCCTCATGATTTGCCCAGCTCTGCTGGGAAGCCATCCAAATTAGTGCCCATCGCTGCAACTTGTGGAAGCCAATCCCATCGTTTCACTATGTGCTGTGTGAAGGTGTCCTTCCTTTTATCTGCTCTGAGTGTCCAGCCAGTCATCCCAGGCACTAGCATTATGGCAAAGAGAGAAAACTGTCCCTAACCCTAACCCTCTTCCATTTCTCCACAGCAGCCTTTGCCACATCTCCTCTCAGGTGCCATTTTGCTAATCTGAGCCATCTCAGGCGCTGCAGCTAACTGTTCCTGGCCGGGGGGCGGGAGGGTGTTCCAGACCCTTGTCCATCTCCAGTGCACCTCCTCTAACTCTGCCATGTCCTCTTTTAGGCTCGACTGCCAAACATTTACGGAACTGTTTTCCAGGTGGAACATCACTCTTTGACTCTGTGGGCGATTCACTGGGTTTTGTCCCTTCCCCAGGAACCCTGCTCTGCCCGCCCTGCGCCCGCTCCGCTTGCGCAACGGCGTGGATCCCGAACTGATGGCGCGGTTTGCCCCGATCCTGTTTTCTATCCAGTCTGACTCCCCCTCACACACTAACACTCCACACAGTTACTAGAACCATTAACCACATTTTAGCAATGCAGACGGATAAGAACAAAGACCGATGAGCTTCAGTGCAATTATAAATATGAAGAGCTGCATGGATTTTCTCTTATCATCTCCAACCTTTAGCACCTACACCCTACTTGTTTAACCTAGCAATAATTTTCAACATACATGTTACAGGTCCAAATACTTCTGCATTCTCTCATTCATCTGTACATTTAAGTGACACGTCACCCAAATTGGCATCTGCTTTCTAGATAAAATAGAAGCTAAAACCGTAATTGTAGAACTTCCAGAAGGAAAAAGTTAGTATATGTATGATAAGATTCTAATGCAGTTTTCCTAAAATGGCTTAGCATCTTATCTAGTCAAAAATCAAAAAGAATATAAAATATTTGGATACCTGCTGGCAACAGTCAAGTGAACACACGCCATGTGAAAAAAGTAATTTTTGGGTGAGCATTTTAAAAACAAAGAAGCACTGTTTAACTAAGTCACCATGCAACCATGGGGAAAATGTTTTAAATATTCAACCCCCATTTTTAAAATAAAAAGATGGCTGACTTAATGGGTGGCTGTTTATCTGCTTCCCCGTAGCAGCATCAACAACCGTCTCGCCAGCATTTATATTTTATAATGCAGGACAAGGGGTTGAATTCAGCAAATTGTCATGGCCAAAAGGGAGATAATAGCAGCTTCTTTTCCCTGTGTGATGAACTGCTAAGTTATTGTAGAAATTTTGCTCATTGCCTGAAGACATTTGGCATCTGAAGGAGAGAGAGGCACCATTTTGAGCAGAGAGCAGTACAACGGACAAATCCAAAGAACCCCAAAATGGAGAAATACAGTCCTTGCACTGAGGAGAAGCCTTCTGCCTTCAAGCTCTCCTATCGGCCCTGCCTGCACACTTTTGCAATGATCTGCAAATGAACTCTTTGCATTCAAGTCTCCCTTGCGTATGTAACTATTTAGTATTTACTAAATACACCCCAGGCAGCTAATGCTGCATGTCCTGAAAGCAGAGCACACTCCTTATCTATTATTGTCGCATTTTAATCCCTGAAGGAGGAAGAGGTGAAGTTTTCTGCCTTGGATGCCAAAGTAACTGGGCTTGGCACCATGTGCCTGAACTTAGATGGGGTGAACAGCAGCCTCAAGCTTGCCATGGCTGAAGCTAGCCTTTCACGACCAAACACTACTCCGCTCACTTCGATAACCAAGGCAACTGCCTGCATTTACAACACATGCCCAGAGCTGTGAGTCAGTGTTAAAAGGTGCAAAGAAAACTTGTCACAGGATAGTTTTGAGGCCATTAGAGTGGGGCCACTATTAAAAGTCTATTTTTTTTCCTAGACTACAAATTTATCCTGGTTCTCACCTCTTGCTGAAACTGTTGGCATTTTTAACAACTCTGGAATACTTTTTACAGAGAACATCTGCACATTGTTATCCTAAAATGAGGAAATCAGGGTTAAATATATAGAAAGGGTTGCGATGTCCTCTTTGGGGTAGGGGCTAAATAGGCTGGTGCTTTCTGAGGGTGCCTGCACTGGACTTTGCATTAAATCCTTGGATCCATTCTTAATTTTGAGGAACATGGAACAGAAGGACTGACAGAAAACAATTTCTGTCACTGGAAAAGTAAACACGATACTGGATTTGAATACATAAGCAACAATTATGGCACAACTTATCTTTATCACCTGAAAATTAGTCAGCGTGCTTTGCACCACAGACTTTACAAAATAAATAGCCAAACTATAACAATAAAGAGGTTTTTCTTGATATAAAAGCATCAGTGTCAAGTACTTAGGTTTTAAAATTCTATATAAAATAATTTGTTCACGCATCGTTAGTACCAAAGCCCAAGTGCGTCTCTTCTAATCTTTCGCAAGCCCAGCGTGGCTTGAGCAGAAGTCCACCTCCCTTTTCTGGAATGCCATGCCCACTTTCAGTAATCAAAATGCTGTTGCAAATATGGGAAGCCATTGCTGCTACTTCACCTTCCTGCCATTTGTAGAAGCCACCATGGACCACGCTTGTTGCAGGTGCAGCCACATCCTTTCGCATCCCCTCGTGCTTCGGCAAGAAGGCAGAAGGGCATATAATAACCTCCCATATCAATGGGAGTGGCTCAGGGAACCAGAAGCTGATGCAAAACACATTTGACTTTTGCCTTCCTGGAACAGAAGCCTGGAACCAACCACAGATCAGAGACAAGATTTCAGTTTGTTAGGCAAGCGACAAACCAGGTGTTTTGGTTCAGATGTGCACTTTTGATTCCTGGGTAGTTTCCGGTTACGTTAGCAGCTCCTGCCGGGAGGAGGCAGAACGATGAAGGCTTACGCACCAGCGGACTTCTGGTCAACAAGAAGCAAAGATTCTCCAAATTGTGGGCAATCATCACATGCTAATAATTTACATGCCAACAGGTCCTCATGCTACAAAGGCTTTCCATTTTTGCGCCGTCTTTAGATATAGGACTCCAATCTCCTCAGAACCGAATACTTGACACTGCTCCTTTTAAAAGTGAAAAGCATAAGGAAGCCTTAAAGTCCCCCATCCTGGTAGAAAACAGAAGCCATTACACTTCAAAATAGTTTTGGAAAGTGATTAAGAGTTTTTAAGTCAAACAAACTTTCCTTGAAACAATGGTCTAGATCAAAACAACAACCGCACTGATAAAAAACAAACTTTACCCATATTGCAGGCATTGCATATTTCTTAAAAAGATAATAAATACATTTGTGTACTGAAATGGATACAAAAAAGGCATACCTTGTGGTGATACACTAAATACATCTCATTTGCAATTTGTGCTGATCTCATAAAAATTCATAATCAAAGCTTGGTATTCCCAAAATTGGTCCTAGTGTTGACTTCAAGATGAAGTAATTTTAGCTTTTGTTCACTGCACACCTTCTTCTATCAGCCACAAGCCTGACCTGCTTTGAGGTTCTGCATTCAAGGTAAACTAGCAGTTGCGTGACAGGCTCAAAGATGTAAACACTGCATATTTCATTCAGATAATTATTTCGGAGATGTTCCGATAATTCTGCCTCTTGAGAGTCAACTCATAATTTTGTGAGGTACCAGCATTTCAGAAATACTTTGAAGTGACTTAGCCAGAGCACAGAAACTTTCTGCATCCATCCCTTGCAAGAGCAGAGCAGAGATGTCCAGAGCACATGATGTGATTTGGATAACATGTAACAGCAGAAAAAGTCCTCACTAATACGAGAAGTAATAAATTAAATCTCCTTAAAACAGATATAAAAGTTGTTCAAAGGTGTAAATTATCAGCTGTGTCATGCAAAGAAAACAACATCAGTTTGGACAGGCAAATCATGCATAAGTATGGCTTTCTTGGAAGATTTCTTGGCCAGAGAGAGAGAGAGAGAGAGAGAGAGAGAGAGAGAGAGAGAGAGAGAGATGAGGTATCAGTTTCACCTAAAAATCCATTTGTGGTCACTCCCTCAGATTCCAGGTAAGCTCATGCCTCAGGAATTTTTCAAACCCAATGTTTTCATTTCACATAGTTACTTACATCTCAAGTCATAAAGTTACTTGCTACTGTGCTGAGAAAAACCCATGTATGTATAGAAAGACATCATGGGCTGATTACCCTTTTCAGGTAATGCATAAACTTTCTAGGCAACATTTCACCCAAGCGTGGACATCACGATATACTTCACAGCATCTGGAGGTTCACAAAACCATTCAGGCTTCTCACAGCAACACCCCAAACACAAGATCATGCGCCTCACGTACTCGGCCATGGAGGACGCGCCACACACCGCTCCACAGCTTTGCATAAGCCGGATATCCCCCTTGACAAGGTTGCAACAGAACTATACTTCGGGCAAAGGTGTGCTCATGCCAAGGTCTTTAATTCCCTGGAGAATTCGCTTCACATGCCCCACCTTCGCTATCCCCAGGTCCTACAAGACAAGAAGAACAGAAAGGTCACTTCACAGGAGACAGGCGGTATCTGGAGATCTTTACAATGGCAACCAGGCTAACTGAGGTCACAGATACCCTCCCTCTACGGAAGGATAATGGATCCAAGAGCTGTCTCATCCAGCCAGTAGTACTGTGTAATAGCTATTTGATAAATAAAAATTCATATGGCCCGCTTTTGAAGGCTGTTATGGCAACAATGCTTATATGATAATTTCCCACATAAAACACAATTCTGGATTACTTCTTCTAATTGTGGGGCAGATGTGGATGCGATTAAAGCTTATTGATTTCCTGAGTTGTCCTTCATAGATTTAGAGAAAAATACTTACCTACAACAGTTATTCAAAACTCAAGTGCTGATAGGACATTACACACAGGGCCTTTCACAGTTCCAGAAAATGCTCAGCTTCTAGAAGGTTGTGTTATAACTTCAGCTTCTAGAAGGTTGTGTTATAACTATCAATGTAACTGTTGGGAAATGTTTCTGGCTAGATTCGTCTTCCATTGTGTTTGTGCTGCAAAAACAAACTGGCTAGATTCATCTTCCATTTTGTTTGTGCTGCTGTTCGGATTTTGATCTTTCATGACATGGGACAAATCACTCAACATGGAGAACAACTTTCCTTCTGAGAACAATTGCTGAAGAAAGCGTTAGACCCTGACACACTTCCTATATGGATCATATCAGGGTGGCAAAACATAGTCTATATTGTCACTTGTGGAATTTTTACTTTTATTTTGCTGTGAATACCCAGGTTGGGAAGCCAGTGGCAAAACACACGCTCAAGCCCCTGCTACTATGAGGAACACATTCCAAAGAAGGACAATTCTCGTAACCTCAGAATTGGGAGAAGCATTTCCTTCAACAGACAGCTTACATCGAGGCAAAATCAAGGACGTGCCGTAAAAAATGCGTACCAAGAACACAAAAGCTGCAATGAAATTGTGTTGAGAGAGCAGTTCCGGGGGGACATTCCCGGGATGACAGGACTGCTCTGGGAAGCCCTTCTCCGTCTGGAGGTAGCACACTTTCGCCAACCGTGAATGCAAGGCGGCATTCCGTGAGTGAGGAAGGGAGAAGGATGGAAAAGCCAGGACACAGGTAACGCGAGCCTCCTCCATTCTCGGTCCTCCCCTTCCAGGGCACCTTTGCTCAGTGGGATGGAAGCTTATCTAGTGGAGATCACTAAAGATGGAGGAAGGGGAGGCAGGTGGCTGCAGCCCAGTGGAGCCAAAGTCCCTCCAAGGTGCCCAAATTTGGGGGCTCCCAAGCGGGGAGAGCACAACTGACAGGATCGTGCCCTAAGGAAGCCACTGGATACCCTCCCATACTAGATTTTTCATAATAATCAGCAACATGCTGTATGATTTATACTGCAAACCCTCCTACCCAGAACCTGAAATTAGGGTACTTACTCAAGTCATTAGGATAATTAATTGGGAAACTAAATACCAGTAACACTGTTCTAATGATGCTACGAGAGAAAACCAGAAAGCAGGTCTAGTGGCCGACATGCACATCGGTGAAAAGAAAGTACAGTGAAGCACAACACACACAATTGGAACACATAACACGGGAAGCACAATCGGGACGCTTTCCTAACCTTTGCAAAGCAAACATATGATGCAGTCTTTGGGTTCCCCTTCCTCCAGAGGCACGGAATGGCTCTCCTCCTCCTATATCTGTCCTTGTCCACCCCAACATGTTGTGGAATGCGCTCCCCAGAGAAGTCTGCCTGGCGCCGTCGTTATTTGTTTTTCGGCGCCAGGCGAAGACCTTTTTATTTAAGCGGCATTTTAATTGTTAATATTATTGGATTTTATCTGGGCAGGGCGACTTATTTTATATTGTTATTTTTGCATTTTAACTTAATGTTTGTATTTTTTAATTTAATGTTATAATTATTTTTTAGCTTAACATTGTAAGCCGCCCCAAGGCTTCAGCGAATGGGGCAGCATGAAAATGTTTTAATAAATAAATAAATAAATAAATAAATAAATAAATAAATAAATAAAATGTTCACCAGCTTTTCTTGGTCACAACCTTCCATTTTCCCACACCACCATTTCCATAAGGCTCCTTATTTGGCACATGCTAATTTCTCCCATCGTAAACTTTCTCTGCTAGTGAGGCATCATGCTAGAACACGTATTCTGGCACATGTGCTTACACTCTCTCCGTGTGCATGTGTTTTTCCAAGTCAGCATCCACAAAAATTAAGTTTATGCTTTTCGACTCCTACCACACAGAAGTACCTGCTCTTCCTTTCAGTGCAGTCATAGAATCATAGAGTAGTAGAGCTGGAAGGGGCCATGAAGGCCATCGCGTCCAACCCCTGCTGTTGCAGGACACCACATGACACCATCCCACTCAGAGGGCTGCCCAGTTTCTAGTACACAAGTCAACTATGTGAATGCCTCCCCTCCTTGCCCCCTTAGACTCAAGTCACCCTCTCTATGTAAGCACACAACTGTTATGTCTGGGTGTGAACTGGGACATGTGGCAACAACCGTGCTTCCTTGGCACTCTCCCATAAGACAACCCTCACCTGGGCCCTCCACACACTTCCTAGTTGAACATTCGCTTCCTCCAGTCTAGCAAAAACAACCTGAAAGGAAAACATGTCTGCCTGATTCCAGCTTTTCCCTCCTTACTCCAGCCTGAATCCCGGACCTGACCTACAGCCATGTGTGCATCTAAGGTGTTTAGCATGAAATGGGATTCTCACCGCTTGACATATAGACGGGATGTAAGGCCAGGATCCAAAGGCTCCTCTGCCCTTCCTAGGGGTCAGCAACCGCCGCCTAAATCTCAGTGGGGCAGGTATGGGGAGAAGCAGCCACTCGTAGCACTGACGTTTCGGTCCCCGTCAGGACCAGCCATCTGGAGTCCCAGCCCCCGGAAAGAATATCTTCACTCCCACCACCACCACCAGGATTTGTGATCTCGTATTCGCTTTGTATTTGAGGTGATGGCTGGTTTAAGAAGGACTTCTTCACACAGCGTAGTCAAGCTGTGGAATTTGCTGCCACAGGAAGTGGTGATGGCTGCCCATCTGGATGGCTTCAAAAAGAGACGGGACTGGGGGCTACCAGCCTCACTGGGCACGGGCTTCTTCCCTGAGCAGAGGCGGCCTCCCTGCACTGCCGAGCGGCCTAGGCAGGGGACGGCCTTGCTCCCATCCTGCTGGAGGGATCCCGTGGGTGGCTGGTGTGCCACCATGTATATGGAGAGCTGGACTAGGTGGACTTTGGCTCCAATCTAGCAGGGCTTTCTTTACGTTCTTATGTTGGGAAGACGCTACAGCCTCTTCCGTCTTCACCTGACAAATGCCTGAGTCTGTGCTTGAGAAGACTGACTTCGTCTTCTGTGCCCAAGCACCAAAATACGGGCTGGAATCCCAGCATCACCAACAATACATGCCTGAGACATTCCGGCAATTCCTGGCTTTCCCATCCAGATGGCAACATAGGCTGGAAGTGCGACTCCACTGAGCTTAAGACCAATCGCCTGCAAGTGAATGAAAGGGGCCATAGAGAGCATGTGGAACAGATCCTAGTGGATAGGGCCCTGCTGTGACTCCCATCCACAAGCAAGCCCCTAATTCTTCATGAAGCTCAAGGAGAATGGGAAAGAGTCCCACAAAGCCCAAGAGACTTTTTAAACCCAAGACTATTCTGGACTCTGAAACACTTGTTGAGAACCCTAGCTGTGCCTTTGAAGAGGGTCAGAAATGTCGTAACCAGTCCCCCAAAACAGCCGCCTTAAATATTTGAATCTTCAGATGAAACAGGGTGACTTCCCACTTTTACTGAAGTACAGAAAGCTAAATAATTGTCCATGAAGCGCTTTCCTTTCCCAGATAGTTTAAGTGAAGATTAATTATTTTAAAGATTAACTGAGTAAAGTCTCCACTCTTTTATTTCCTCTGTGCTGAATCTGTAATCAAAGCAAATACTCTTCAGTCAGTTTCTACTATTCTGACCGTGGTCCCTCCTTTCTTCTTTGTCCGTTCCAGCATCTTGTTGCTTTACACTCTTTCTGACTGGGGCAGGCCATGACCATTTCCACCAAGCTGGACACAGTGGCTGTGGACAGGTTGCGTTTCCAAAGAGTTTTCACGGAGAGCACATTGCCCCAGGTAATCCAAAGGGGTGACACTAAAACGTGTGTAGCTACGGCCAGATCAGACTTCTATAGGAATGGGCACACTAACCTCAGGCTCAGGGCCAAGCTGAAGAATACATCCCAGTGGATACACCCAAAGATTCCCCTGACTCTTCAAGGGAAATGCAACCATTCCCCTCCAGCAGCAGCTGAATCCCTTTGTGTGATCTGCCTTTTAACAAACTACAAACACCCCCAAACTGATTAGGTCAAGCTTCACTCTGTCTGCCCTCACCCAGGCTGTCCGTTCCCGACTCCAGGCACTTATCTGCAACCAGACTGGCTTCCGTGGGCTTGGATGGAGTGGAGAAACAAGGCTGGCCATCATCTGCGAGACCAGCTGAAACCCTCTCAGTTCTCTCTCCAACAGACACTCCAGTTTTCACAAAAATTAATACGGCTCACACATAGAACGATTCTGCCAAGCCTCTGCGTACATTGTTATAGAAGCTAATCCTCAATACGTCTGACATTACCAGTTGAAAGTAGGGACTAACAGACTATTAATATTAGTTTCGGTGTTTGATTTTTTGCAGGTTTGCACGCTAAAAGCCAAGCCGCAAGCACGTAACTGGCGTGGGAACAGGAGAAAGGTTTCCATTAATTTCTATTAAGAAAAGAGAGGTTCTGATAAGCAGAAAGTAGCACAAAGAAAATACCTTCAGATCTCGCCTTTCCAGGTGCAAAAGCTCAGAGCCTCGGATGTCATGGCTGACGAAGGCTTCCTTGTACTCTCCCAAACTGAGTAGGTCCAGCCACGCAGCAACTTCATCTGTGCCCCACTTTTGAACTACCAAAGTTAAGAGCAAAACCCCCTTAATTTTCTACATGCTCAAGAGCATTCAAAGCAAAGGTTAGGCCACAAAGAGTGGAAGACGAGGGCAGAATGCGGCAGTGACAGCGAAAGTGGGACACATTTTGGGGGAAATGGTCAGCTTCTTTTTTCATGCGGGTTACAAGTAAGGAAAACCAGAGAATGGGACTAGAACCCGGGACAAGGGGGCAGCCATGCTTTCAGCTTCAGCATCAGGACTATCAAGCCTCTCTCAGCCTCAACCGATTCACTGACTGGATTAGAATCTGTCCTGCAAGGCCTGTGCACATTGTGCTACCCTAAGATGGCAATTTATTGGTCACAATGTCAGCAGGAAAAAATCAGTGCTCATTCAGACAATCCGCTGTCGCCCTTCATCCAGCAAGTGCCCCGTCCACCACATCAGGAGAGCAGCACATTGGAAAGTTCTGCCAACGCTGCTCCCGAAGGTTAGTGGTCAACATTAGACCGAAAAATGAGTTTAATGAGGAGGTCGGAACATATATGCCGTTGCCCCAATTTTCACAGGTACTATTTCATGTTCGAAGGTAAGCTTGACCCAGGCTATCTTCAAATGTTAGAAGCAGTCAGTTGCTCCACACGTTCAGGTGAGCTTTCCAAACTGACTCCCAGTTCTGTGTCCGGTTCTCTTCTCAATCTTTTGAAATGTGTCACTTGTGTGAGGTGACTATCCATACAGTATGGTTGTGATCCTACACACACCTATAACAGAGAATCGTGAAGATCTCTTTGCTTCTCATTCACCATTTTTCTTAAGCCGGCAAATGCATGATGAGTCGAAGCTTTCCAACTTTTTTCTTTCGGGCAACTCTTTCCACATGGATTTGCCAGCCAAGGAATTATTGAGATCATGCAACTGAGATCTTCCGATTCATCCCAGGTACAGGTTTGGACCTCACTGTGAAATCTTACATGCTTCATGTACTCTCTACAACAAACCCAACAGTTGCACAGGACAGGGGAAAATTAGGATTGAAATGAAAACCCTCAGTGATGGAAGCATGTTGACTTTCTCACTGAGCAACATCTGAGAAGCTTCTACAGAATTCCAGGGCATCCCGGGACACAGTTGGAAAACCAGTAAGGTGGCATAAGTCATTAAAGGACGACTAATCCAGTTACAGAAAAGCCAGAGAAAAAGACTTGATCTTATCTCATAGCCGAGACAACACAGAAATCCTCTTATTTTGCATCTGCAAGTCATTTAGCCCAGACTTTCTGTGGCACGACTCATGGTTTGAGAGGATAATCAAAGTTCATTACCTAAACTTGTAATTAAATACCTGAAGCATTTCTCCCCCAAACAGTATTACTTGTTTTAAAGCATACCAGGTGGAGAGCTTGTCTTTTGCTTCTGAACCTTCTCCTTTTTAAACTTTGGCACTATGCGAAATACCGTGCTTCTGTTGTTTCTCTTCGTATATTCCAAGGGAGGGTCCTAGAAACAGAAGAGATGGGAAAACTCAAACGTATTTATTTATCTGCAACCACAAACGAAAGTTCTCAGGGTGGTTTGCAATGGTTGAGAACTGATACATGAAAGAAAGAAGAAGAAAAAATAACTTGAGATCTAAATATTTAAAAGCTATAGCAAAGGGACTACGCCGAAAAGCAGAATTTTAAAAAATGAAAAAGACATGTGGTTTCCAGGACAACATAGAATGACAGGCGGAGATGAAGGTTTTATTTCATTGAGTATCCAACTACTGTCTAAATAGCTTAGCTATTTTACTTCGTTATATCCTGTCTAATTTAAATCAGAAGTCTTTAAAAAAGTTCATATGCTCTGCTAACTACATAAAACCACATTAAATGATCCGCACTCAGAACATTAGCCCTTGCCACTAGTTTTGGCCTCAGTTGCTCCAACTCCCTTCCTGAAAATGAGTTTAGCCCAAAACATTCATTGGCTTCTCTGCTACCTTCTTATCTTTCCTTAATTTGTGTCGCCTAATGATCCAACCACTTCCTTAGCCAGTATCCTGCTTTTGATGCAATTAAATTATCCATCATCATCAGAGTAACTGTATTTAACAACATACTCCTCACAGATGGTAGTACACTTTCTGGTCGGTGAGACACATCCCAGCTGAGCTTCACAACTGTTGTTCTGAATCCCCCTCAACATTCTGGACACACAGTTGACTTATCCTTTCAGCTTATTACAAATTCCCTCCTTTTTAAGAAGTTTCCGTTCAACAGGAAAGGCTTAACTTAAACAGATGACGCCACCTAGCCTAAACATGTTCTTCAAGTTGGTAGGCACAGAAGAAGATCTATCAGCGTCTAATACCTGGAAGCAGTATTTGGGTATGTGTTGCCCACTCTAGAAACAAGGTCTTAAGTCTAAAGGGGGTTGTTTGTTTGTTGACAGTGGAAATGCAGCATGGATTTGGCAAATAACCACTAATTTTAAATAATTTGAAGCTACAGGCAAACAACCTAATTTCATGAAATGCAGTAGCTTTAACAAATAGAAACAATTTAGTGCAACTCCTGAAAAGGCAAACAGTTCAGGTATATAAGAAGGCAGAAAGCAACAGTTAGACTGAAAACAGCAATTTGAGGAGGCCTGAGAGGACAATAATTAGCAACAGGAGCAAGGAATGTTGCTCTTTCTCCAATGGGTTCAACCAAAGAAAGGCAAATATATGCACAACCAGGGCCACTGTATGCAGCACCAATAAAAGAGGGAAATAAATTTTCATAAGAAGAGTGGAGCAGGATGAGACCAAGGGTCCAAGTAGCTCCGCATTCTGTTCAACCAGTGGTCTACCAGCTTCCCATGGGATCCCACAGCTGGATGCATTTCCAAATATGGATTTTCTTCTTCGAGGACAATATCTATGCTCTTAGCTCAAGGGCTGCATAAGATGCGCGGCAGAGATGGGGGAAAGCATTACTTTTATTCCAGAAATGGAAATAAGTGAGCATTTGGTACAGCCCAAAAAAACAAGTTATCTTGTCCTGAATGCACTCGAATACAAATAGGAAGCCCTCGGGCATATAAAAACCATTGCATTATAAAAAACATGTTTTGCAAGCAATTTCAGCATTGAGCCAGAGAGCACCGAGCAGAATGTGTGACTAACTTTGCATTCACACACTGAATTGGTCTTGAAATCATAGTCAGGGCAGGATTAAAAGAGAAGAAATTGGAAGAAGGAAATCAAAGTTTTAAACAAGGGCATCGTGTATCTCAGGTAACAGCGTGTTTATTGTAGATTTAAGCATTAATACTCTGTAAGCATGACAGAATTGTGAATGTGAATATAATACACAGAAGGGATTTAGGATGAAAATCTGAGTTTTGCTCACCTCATCATCATTTAGTTGTAGAACATAAAAGAGCCAAGGAATTTCAGCAAGCTTTCTTAATTCAGTTTCCAAACTGTGCACAGCTGTTGAAAGCATTTCATCCTGGGCAGAATCCAGCTGCTACAGAAAAAAGCCACAAAACCTGATGAAGTTTCTCTTTTTCTTTTAAACAACCATCTTTCACAATGAAATTGTCCCAGCGACTGCTGTTGTAAAGCTCACAAATCGAGAGCAATAATTTTGTCTTTAAAAAAGAGGAATATTCATGTTCCTCTAACCGCCCTAGTCTTAAGACCAAGGAATGGACATCAATAGGTGATATATACATATGGATTTTAAAACTCTAAAAACTTTCTAAATTTCGCTAACATGTGAAATTTGTTTGTATCAAAGCTGAACCCAGCAGAAATAGCAATGCTACTACTTATTTGTAAGTCACAGCATGCTTCAAACTGATGGGACAAATTATTTCTGTCTGCAAACAATACTTTTTCAATTTGGTAAATGATCCATAATGCAGCGAAAGGACTGAGTCCCCATCCCCTCCGGCTAGCTGATCTCCTGCTTCCAAGGGGAGAAGAAAAATACAGCAGTTTTGCTTCGAAAGGGCCCTGCCCCAAACCTCAGGCCTTTCCCTGAGATAAGCCCCCCCCACCCCCTTCTGCTGGCTGGACTCCCTCTCCTCATTGTGGGGTGCTGAACTATGGTTGGAAAAGGTCAGTTTCTATCAATATAATGCATTAAGCAAAGCAGGGAGAAGGTACATCTCCATCTTACCAAAGGGACCCTTCCTACAAGCAAGGATGCCGTTTCATCATGCAGCGCCTTCACGTTGACAGCAACCTCAAGGGCCGTGTTTCTTGTCAGGTTCTGCAGGAGGAACAGTTGAAAAAACAACAGCCATAAGTTTAACCATGAACAGCTTTGCAGCAATGGGAAAGGCCGAGAAAAACACAGGAAGTCAACGTGACTTCCCCAGCCAGAACCTAAACAGGGTTTTCACCATTCTTGAGCATGCCTGTTGACAGGTGGGCGAGCAACACCGTAAATATATTCCCATGGCTGAGACAACACTCCCATTCCGAATCTTCCTTGGGGTTGAGAAGGAAATATCCAAGAGGGGACTTTTGAAGAGGGTCTTGCAGGGACTCTCCTGTCCACATGGGACCCTGTTATGTGGATGGTGTTTGGGGAGAGCACATGTGGGCACTTTCATGCCACCAGGCGCCCTCTGTGGCACCCACCAAAGTGCCCTTCCTACTCCTGGTTTTATTCTCACTCTTGTTATTGTAAGTCGCACTGGCAGCTTGGATTGCTCCAAGGGAGGCCTTTGGATGCTGCCATCTTGGTTTCAGAAACATTCTTTGGAAAGAAGGAGGGTGAGGTGCTGCGGACGGGCATTTTGCTCTGCCCGCTTGCTGAGAACACGAAGGGGTGAAGGGAGGAAACGGGACCTGGGCCGCTTCCGTCTAGGGAGGCAGACGGCAGGGCTACAGGGGGCAAAGGAGGGCATGCTGGCGGCAGGGAAGCCAGCAGCACCCCCCGTGGCACGGCACCCGCTGGGCAGAAACTGTGCTGCTGCGCATCGCATCTCTGAAGGAGAGGGTGGCGTGCACGTGCGAGGTGGAGGGGGCAAAGGCGGGGAGCGATTCGGGAACAGGGGAGCTTGGAGGGGTCCTGAGAGAGGGCAAGCACGGTTGTTCAGGAGCTTGTTGTGAGAGGACAGGGTGTGTGCGTGTGTGGGGAGACAGAGCGAACGGTGGCGCTTCATCATGAGACAAAGGAATGGGGAAAGGAGTTGGTGGAGCGAGAGCAAACGCAAACACCATCTGCAACGGGATTCTGTTAGTGCTGAGATGGATGGTTTGGGTGATGGAGCACAGGATTCACCCTTCCGTCTTTGGCAGCGGCTATCTGTCCTTGGTATCTAGCTACGTCTTCGGTAGCAGCCCTTCCGTGATGGCCAGAAAGTTTCTCAATGGCCCAGTGTGGCTCAGGCCCAAAAGGCTGACAAGCCACTACCCCCGTGTGGCTTTTGGGAAGAAGGAACAATGACAGGGAACCTGTTGGTCCCCCTCTGGAGAGTTTTCCTATGTAGCAATGGCCTCCTAATTAATTCTCGGTGCAAGAAACATTCCTCTAGCATTGGAGCACCAATTAAATTGCAGATAAAAAATAGTTTTAACCTATAAAGGAGTGGTTCATTTTATATTAAGCACAAATAAAATGTGGTAAAGCCACAGTGCATCTGAAAACCACTCCACCCCACGGGCATTAATGACTGATGGCTGGTTTTTTAAAAGTGCATTATTTATCCAGCACCACATTTTTCGTTACCTCGGGAAATCTCGGGCTGGCTTTGTTTAGTGCATGAGAACACGCGTTCACTGCATGCGCCAGTTCCTGCTCCAGCAGGCGGTGTGTCTTTGCCGTGTCACAGATCCTGCAGGGGAAAGCAGAAATGCACTGCTGATTAACTGTGGCCTGAAAACGCTGACCCAAAGCAAGGGAAAGTGCCCACCCAGTTTTTGCATCATCTTCTGCAGAGAAGCATTCAGGGAAGGACCCCACGGTCTTCTCAGATATTTTCCCAGCATTCCTATTCCACAGTCTTGACTGTTATGTTGAATTGGGCCTCTGTTTTCATGCATTGCAGCATTACCACCTGTCGCTCCTCTTCCTTTAATTGTCACAAAGCGCTACCACGAGCCACAGACACGGAGATGAGGACTGAAGGAAGTGCTCACCTGGGATGTACTTTGAGCTACAGCGACTCGAGCACCGCAGACTCAGTCCACTGGCATAACTTGAGGTCCAAGGGATGCTGCATCGGCTGCAAGCGATGGTCAGATATGGATCTTGTCCAGTTTGAGGGCTGGTGACCCAGCATGGCCTCTGGGATGATTTGGCCACCGATTACAAGAGACTTTCTTGCAGCCGGCCTCCTTGCAATCCCCACCTTCATCAACAGCTAGGCGGTGGCACGCAGGTGGAATTTCTGGTCTGGTACCACTTTGTCGCAAGTTGAAGGCTCACCATCACCTTGAAGCCTCACAATAATTTAATCGTAAAAGAGTAGGGTTGGAAGAGGCCATGAAAGCCATCAGGTCCACCCCCTGCTGTTGCAGGACACCAAGTCACAGCATCCCACTCGAATGGCCGCCCAGTTTCTCCTTGAGTGTCTCCAGGGTGGGAGACCAGCTCCAGGCACTGCCTTGTTGCTCTGACAGGGAGGAAGCTTCTCCTGATGTCCAGCCTGAACCTGGGCTGTCGCAGCTTGACTTGATTATCCCGTGTCCTACAATCTAGAGCATGCTACCAAATCTGTCCCCTAAAGACCACTGTGTCTACCCGGGCTCCATGAACAGAAACATGTCACCACAGCAAATTCATGAGTAATGAAAACACAAAACAGAATGTTTCCTGTTCTTCACAGAATATATTCGTATCCTTGCAACGTTATTCTCAGTGTGCAAGAATTTAGGACAGTCTACACCAATACCAGAAAATTTAGATACTTTGAGCATTTAAGAAAGCAAATACCTTTTGCAGTCAGTAAAAAACAGTGCACATGGACCGTCTGTCCTGCCACAGGTTCTGCGACAAGGGCAGGTAATGCTAAAGCACTGAGGACGGCTTCAGGTAATCCATACCTGGTGATCAGTTCCTCGGCTGCATGACAACACAACTGGACCTGCAAAGCCTCCTCCTCCATGGCCAGTTCCACAGCCTGCTGAGGGCACAAAGGCGACCTCAGCACTGGTTTGTAGGAGTCGCACTTTTGCTTGTCTTCCCAGGACTTCAAGGTATTCTCAAAGGCCTGTTGAAAAGGGAGCAAGTCACTCGACGTTGATCGGCATCGATCCTCCATCTTCCCATCCAGGGTGGAGCACGACACACAAAGGAATTCAAGGAGGATTTCCAAGAATTATGAATAATCAGTCATTCCAATTATGAGCAATTCTTTCCGACAAGGATGGATAATGCGAAACGCGGGCCTATGTGCCATGTGTCACTCAGGTGTCGTCAAGTAGGATGTTCTTATACTTCAGACTCAAATCCAGGCTCACTCCTGGGAGTGTTAGCCTGTTTCATATCAAATGATACCAATCCATGCCCCCTCCCAGCTGGTCTCTCCTTCACACCCACACACGCGACTGCACTGAAATGTCCGCACACCCGCCTTTTCCCACCATGCAGAGTATGGCTTTCAGAAGTCCATAAACTAGCCACACATTCCTACAAGGAAGTGCTCAAATTCCTCCCAAAAGGACTTCCAATTCTGCACCGGGCAAACGATTGCTGTCACATACCCTGTCTCGTGTTAGCATCTGCGCCCTGTTTTTGTGCACAATTTTAATAATTCCTGGAGGCTGGATCCATGCTTCTCCATCGACTTGCACCGGGACTCCCTCTTCTCCAAGTATGGTGATCTTTACTGACCGGCACTGAAAGGCAGCAAACAGATTTCAGTGGAGACAAATATATTCAGGCATCCCCATCGAGACCTGCTGTTGGGAGCTCCTGACCAGGGATGTTTCAAGGGCAAAGAACTCTTCCTGGCTGGCACATAAGAAGATCTGCTGCACACTTGCAATGCAAACAGGAAGTCTGGCACAAGTCTGCAGCCTCCTGAACCCCTAAAAGCTTTCGTTCTTCCTGGACCGCGCACATACCTGAGCTATCCGATGATGCTGCAGTTTGATAACCCGAGAAACAGCCATCTGCATGCTGCCAAACACGGCAACAACCTCCAAGATTTTATCATCAAATGACGGTGCCCCGAATATCTAGTGGGAAAGGAAACGTCCGTTTTGGCAGAGAACTCCAAGCATTTTAGGACCTGCTCTGGTCTCTGTGGCTCTGCAAGACCTCAAGGGCACTTAAGCACCTGCAGGCCAGCATGGATGTCATTGAGATATTGCATTTTATACTTCAAATTATAAATCGACATCTCAGTGAAGGAGCAAAGCATTTGGGACAGTGTGTCGTGTTGTCATGTCAAAAACAAGTGTGGCAACATTCAGAAGAGTTACAAATAAGAGCCATGGTACCTCACCCATTTTGAAAGCAAAATGTTTAAAAGGATGCAAAGAAAAGTGTTTCAGCCATTCAAGATGTACCTCAAGACTGACGTGCCATCTATATGCAACCACATTATTAATAGCTGATGTGTAGTTTTTATGTTATCTATGCATACATATTTACTGGGTCCTTAACCCAAAACACTGTGAGCGTTGAAGCCCCAGTGTGAGGCTGATATGCTCAGGGTACGTTTCAAATTCAAACCTTTAGGGAGTTAGCATAAGTACTGCTTCCCATATCCAGAGAGTGAGAGAGAGCGCGAGCGTGAGAGAAAGAGCAAGAGCAACAGTGAGAGAGAGAGAGAGAGAGAGAGAGAGAGAACAACCTGAAACTAAAGTATAGCATGGTAAAGTTGTAAATCTTTACATACTAGACAGAAAATGTCTTAATACTATAGAATGACCAGTGAAAAAAAGGATTGCAAACAATTATTTCTATTTATCCTTTCGGAGATATAGAGAAGCCATTGTCTTGTCAAGAAATACATGTGCATTTGAAAAGAAAAATTATTCCAACCTTAAGCAAAGGTCCTGTGATGTTTTTATAAACTACACTTTGTCACGGAAGCAGCAGAAATCCTGACTTCCTTTCTAAAGCATGTTTTTTCTGGCCCAACACTCACGGTACTCACATCATCCTCCTTGGTTCCACCCCAGAAATTGGTGCCGCCAGCATAGCTTGGAATATTCAGAACAGCGATGCCTTGAAGACTCGGAAGAGGGATATATTGTCCGTCACACTGCAAAACATAAAACATGGTATCTATAATCCCCAACGTCAGTTTCTGTTTCCTTTAATCCCAGAATTCAATGGACTTGAATTCTGTTTCCTTGAATCCCAGAATTCATCTAGTCTAGCTTCCCCTCTTTAACCAGGTCATTCCACATATCTCCATGCAGCTGTGTTGTGTCGTGAGCCTCTTCCAATTATTTTCCCGCAGGCCAGTTCTACAGTGTTGTGACAGAATCGAAAGGCAAAAACTTCCCAGTGCAGAAGTGACTGACAGGAAGCACTCAAAAAAGCCGATGCAATTCATACACAGTGGAGATCGCAGTGAAACCAGAATGCCCCGACGGATAACTGGCCTTCCCGTTGTAAGCAGGGCAGTCCCCAATAGTGTATGCATGAGTCAAAATATATATAACTATCAATGCTGGCTTTATGACACTGTTTGTAATGTGCTCCAAACAGAAGGGCCTTTGAAAAAGATCCGGAAATTGCCAAACAGAACGCAGTAGGCAACTGTTGACGAGGGACCAGTTGCTTAACTGAGGCGTCTCCTTCCATCTTCACTGTGGATGGAAAAACGCATCTTTGACATGCTTTTTCCCAGTTTTTCTGCCTTGTTAAGACATTGTGTTAACGAAACACAAGGTGGAGCTGTAGAAGAGCTGCAGAACAGGGAACCTGTGAGTGCAGAAGGGGCTTCGGTTCCCATTTGTCCCACGTGAAACTTTAATATCAAACTCTCCTCACTCTAGACAAGCCTGCAAAACAGGCTAGAAAGGAAGGAAGAGCCCAATGTCATGTAAAGACCCAGAAACTTCAGTGAACGAGGCTTTCCAAGCGCACAATAAACATCTCATGTAGAGAAGCCAGCATGCAACGACTCCAGGTCTATTTCAAAGCACAATCAAAATGCTTTGAAATTCCTTTGACCAAGAGGAATACCTAAGGGAGTCGAGTGAATTATGGGGTGGGCTAAAAATCTTATAAATAAATAAAGGACTGAAAAATCTCTTCCTCCTAAACAGTCCATCCAATCCCCTGCCCTCGTTAAAAAGCCGTAACTTTTGGGGCAGACCGGGGAAGCTTGGCATCGCTCCCCTTCAGCCTGTTTCCTCCGCAAGCCTTCCTGAAAACATTTCACTGCAATGCACTTCATTACATGCAGCATTTAAGTGCAGTGAGGATATGCAGTGCCCTGTGCATGGAGACAGTGCTAATGCAAAGGCTCGTCCTTTACACACATTTGTTGCACAGCTTGCACGGTGTGTTTGATCAGCAAGAAGAGAGCGCTGGTGCCAGTGAGCAGAGTTAAGTCTACATCTGGGGAAGGCTTGCGCTTCTCCCCACACGCCTGCTGTTCACAGTGGAAGGGAAGCCCCCACTGGTGCCAGGGGGTTAAGAGGCGTCTCCAGGAAAGCGCAGCTCTCAGGGATGGTGGAAGCTGGGGAAAAGGCGCAGACAAAAACTGGGAAATCAGTCCGGTGCTAGGCTCCAAAGGTGGGGTGGTCTTAGGCCATGTGTTTAAGAAAATCCTTGGCCTTTCCTGCCTGCTGTCAATCAGAGCAGAATAACAATTTGGGACAATCTCTTTTCACTTCTCCTCTTGAGCCACCCAGCAGGAGCTGCAACAGACAGGAGGAAGACCTCTCCAAGGACCTGCCTCCAGTGGGCCAGAGGTTCGGCAGGAAGCCATGGTGGGCCATCAAGAAAGTCCAGCACCACAAGTAGCAAGACAGCATGAAGAAGGCCAGGCTGGCGGGGCTCAGCCTTCTGCCCCCGCACCTCTTACTTGATGGGACCTCGACCATGAGAGATGAAGGTTACCTCAAGCTGAACTTTTTGTTCGAGGTTTTTGTACGTCCGCTGCAGTAATTCCTTGGTGCCAAGGACTCCGTACCACATCATGTTCTTCGTTCTGCTTCTGAACACAAAAGAAACATGATCTCGCTGAGGCTGCGCATCTAAGCATCAACCCCTCCTAAGAGGCTGCGGGAAGACAGGATGGCCATCACACGCTTGCGTGCACTGAATGTTCCTACAGGAAGCCTTGACGTCAGCGCCATTACCTGCATTTTTCAGGGTGCTCTTCTCGCTTATTGTTAAATTCCAATGAAATTTTTGCATCTAATCCAATTCCAAAATAATTATTCATGACACACTTCTCTGAATAGCCTTCCCTGTAAGCAAACACACATCCGTATAATAAATACAGCAGAGACAGGGCAAATTGAAACTAGCATACATGAAGTATACAAGCAGAGGCAATTTCAAGTTTTGCCTAAGGGTTGTCCTACACCCTTCACCTGAGATGAAGAGGGCCCAAATAAAGAGAGCTACAGCCTGAAATGAAACCACGTATGTTTTTTCCACATGCTGATATAGTGATTCCTTATTCTGCTGTAAGAACTGAAAGGCTTGGATCTGCCTTTCTGAGTGACTTGGCATAATCAATCAATCAATCAATCAATCAACCAACCAACCAATCAATCATTCAATCAATCAATCAGCTGGGCATGACAAAGGAGGAAGAAAGAGCATTCCTCCCTCGCTCTCGCAGGTGCCAAGGGAGCCCGGGCATTTCCATCCACTCAGGAAGGCTGGATTCCACCTGAGGCATATCTTCCTGGTCCAAATCAACATACCTGGCCCAAGCAGTGCTCCCCACCCCCTGCTCAGAGCAACACCACAACAAGGTGTCCCGGATCGACCCAGAGGGCCAGCTGAGTCTGCAAAGAGCTCCCTGCTTCCTCCGTCGCCCCGCAGGTGCCTGGCACCTCTTTGCGCTACGCGGTGGATGGAGGCCCTTGGACCTGAGAGGCACTCCTGACCCAGCAGACCAGGTCTTGCTCCAAGGCGGCGACCGCTGCTGCTTCCCTTCCTGCTCTGACAGCGGGGCTGTTGCAGGTGGCGTGCCGCTTCGCAGAGAGGAGGGGCCGGGGTCCAGCAGCCGTGGCCCACGTGGAACACAGGAACGCTGCAGCCCAGACGGACCAGCCCCGGGGCCCCTCCTGTCCAACATGGCACCCAGCCAGCGGTCTGCACAAAACCTCCAAGCACAGCATGAGTGTGATGCTCTCCAGACTCTGGTCTACCTGGGCTGGAGGGGCTGCAGAGAGCCAACGGAGTCATTGCCATGGATAGTTTTATTCTCCAAGAATTCATCTACCCCCTTTAAAGCCAAGGAAGTGCCCGTCAATGCAACTCCCTCGTTTACCCATGTATTTTCTGAACATCCTTTAATGCGTCCTGAGTGCCCATCCAAGCAGCTTCATTGGATGCTCTGGTTCTCTGGTATGATAAGAAAGGCAGAAAAAATCTGCAAATTGCACCCAGCATGCCCTGAGGCTTAAACAAGCAACTGTGGCTTGTTTAGCCCACAAAGATCATCTGAACCAGGTCGGTGAGCCTCTTATGAAATGAAAATGCTGAGGTACACCTTATCTGAAAAGACAATGAAACGTAAGTCCTGCCTTACTTATCCGAATGAGAACAGCACCAGAGGGAGCACAGAACTCAGGTCTCCTCATCCAGGAACCACCACTGCCCCGCTTCTACTTTCCAGTAAATGGATTTCCACTTACACTTTGGAGTTCTGACTCTGCCCAAGTCACTCTGACTTTCTTTTGCTTTTGGCATGTATTATTGGATATTACCATGGTAAAAAATAAACAAGCATGCCAGCAAACTGAGAATGAGAGAACCTCAAGGATCGAGCACGTCTTGTTCTTACAGTGATTCTGGATCGGGATCGATGAAGGGAGTCGCGCCGAATGGATCGATGTTGGCCAGTAGCATTTTGCTGATGACAGAGCTCCCCGCGATAGAGGCGGCAAGGCCCGCTCTTAAGCCTGGGGTAGAAAGAGAGAAAACGCGAATTGCAGTTACCTCCGACTGCCAACACTTCTCATGAAGAAGTCAACATTTAGAATTCACTTTAAAGGGGAAAGGGAGAAAGAGCAGCTGCATCTTTGGCTTGAAAAGGATTTCATTTATCATTTTGAAGGATGAAATCAGTCAGAAACTTCATCAGTAAGGATATAAAATTATTTTCCTTAAGATAACCAAATAAAGGCCTTGAACACCAGAGAACAAAAGGACTGCGCATTAAAGGCGATACGTGGCTACTTTATAGTTTGGCCCGTCAGGCCTAACGAGGCAATTGCCTGCAATATTTATGTCTGTTAACTTAAGAAAAGTTGGGACAAACCCTTTCAGGATCCATCCCTTTAGCATCCATGGGCTTCCTCACATGCTTGGCCCAATCCTGTAAAGCAGCCACTGGTTGCATAACCGGCAACCTTCCCGCTTAGCATCAGCCCTCCAAAATGTGGCTGCGGGAGCTTAGATTCAGGGCTCTCGGAAAGCAGACTGGCACCCGAGGACCCACATTTGACAGCTCCCCAGGAGAGCATCTCTGGTCCCCTGAGCACACGCCATAGGAACACCCCCCCAGCCACTCTGGATGCCCATGGGTGACAGGACCGCCCAATTAGAAGACCCTCGTTACCTGGACAGATTATCCTTGTGTTCAGCACTGGGAGATTCTCCTTGCTGGCGGTGCAGGCCTGGGCTGAAAAAGAACCTGCATGAGAAGGAATGTGACTTCTCAGTCCGTCTGGCGATTTAGGGGCAGTTTTAACTGTTCAGAGGAGGAGAAGCAATAGCCTTTGTCTTTCTACGTAGAAACATTGCATAAGTAAGCCACACACATACATGTTATGGGCTGGGAAAGACTACAGACAGCTGCAACGTAAGTTTCCCTACAGATCACTTTAGGACTGAGAAGGAAGCTGTTAGTCTGTGGTCCGAAGGCCTAATCCTGTGCCTGGAAGAGCCAGATTCCTTCCCAGGATTCCCGTCTCCGAGCCCCATCGCTACCAAGGACTTTTTGAGGCAGAGGGGGGAGAATCCCCCCCAGAGGAGAAATGGGTGGAACCCGTTTGTGTTGCTTTCCTTCTCAGCCACAGACAGGTAACAACAACAGCAGGACTGGCGCTTTGCCGCTCCTTCATCCCTGTCCAGGAGCTTTTTCCCCAGCAGCTTGTGAGGGCAGCTTCCCAACCCTTCCGGATCCAAATGCACATCTGGGAATCTCAGGGGCCACAGCACACTTCACGCAGGAGATACAGCTAGCTGCAACTTGGGTGTTGCTTGTGGGGTCTGGCTAGTCAAAAGTGGCATAAAGAGGTGTGAGGAGAGACTGCGGGAGCTCAACGCTTCAAGAGGGAGGAAGAGCAGGTTGCTTACCTGTAACTGATGTTCTTCGAGTGGCCATCTGTGCATCACACACATGAGTTCTGCGCCTGCGCAGTGCCTTTGGCCGGAAGATTGACAGCTAACGGTTTTTGGCGGCAACTCCGCTCCCCCTCCGCCCTAGCATTATATAAGGAGCGGAGTGTCTGCCATTTTCCAGTCTTTGAAAGACCGACGTTTGTTTTTATAATAAGGTTTGTCAGTATGACAATATAGCCAAATTCAGTAGTGGTACGACATATAGCTAAAGAGATCATAGTATCGAAAGAAAATAGTCGGACCACCCATGACACCAAGCAGTGTCGGAGGGTGGGTTGTGTGACTGCACAGATGGCCACTCGAAGAACATCAGTTACAGGTAAGCAACCTGCTCTTCTTCGTCGTGGCCTCTGTGCATCACACATATGGGTAGAATAACAAGCTTACCCCAACTGGAGGAGGGAGGTGTCATCAGCGAAGAACAGAAGAAAGGACAGCTCTGCCAAAAGAGCAATCCTGCCTGGCACGGACATCGAGTCTATAATGTCTGGCGAAGGTACACGGGGTAGCCCAAATGGCTGCCCTGCACACATCTTCCATCGGGACCCCTGATGCAAAGGCCGAAGAAGCAGCAACAGCTCTTGTAGAATGACCTCTTGGCAAGTCCAACTTAGCTAACTGATAAGACAGGACAATTGTATTTACTATCCATTTCGAAAGACGTTGTGAAGTGACTGGACAGCCTCGGTCATGTTCTGAATATTTCACAAAAAGTCTATTGGAACGCCGAACAGACTCAGTCCTGGACCTATAAAAGGCTAAGCAATGACGAATGTCCAGCATATGTAGAGATCGTTCTATCAGATTCGAAAGGGTTGGAAAGAATGCTGGTAAAACAATCTCCTGTTGCATATGAAATGAAGTAGCGATTTTCAGAAGGAAAGACGGATCCAGCCAAAGAACCACTTTTTCCTTATGAAAATTCAGAAAAGGGGGGTCTACCTGAAGGGCGCAGAGTTCAGAGGATCTACGGGCTGAAGTCACTGCAACAAGGAAGGCAGTCTTCCATGAGGCAAGGCGTAGATCGATCGTCGCCATGGGTTCGAAAGGTGATCGAGTCAGCGCTTGTAAAACCACTGAAAGACTCCAGGTGGGCATTAGAGGCCTTATAGTTGGATGCAGATTACTCAATCCTCTCAAAAATCTTTTAATCAGAGGTTGAGCAAAAAATGGAGAGACCATGTATAGTTCCCTGGTAATGTGAAATCGCTGCTGTATAAACTTTTATGGACGAAGGTTTGAGTCCAAACTGATGCAATTCGAAAAGGAACTGAAGGATCTGTGGAACAGAAGACGAGGGTGCCAGAAACTAGTGTGAATTGGCAAAGTTAGAGAATCTCTGCCATTTTGCCATGTACGACTTCCTAGTAGATGGTCGTAGCGCAGATTTGAGAATACACTGTAGGTCTGGGTGTAGACTCTGCTGAGCAGCAACGGCAGGGATGGTTGGTGGCGTCGATACCAGTGCATCGCAGCTGGTCATCATATCCTCCATGCAGTCAGTTTCAGCGACAACAAGTCTGGGTGGCGAATCGTGCCCTCCCTCTGGGTAACGAGATAAGGAAGAAGAGGGAGTTGGAGAAATTCTTCTCGGGAGACGTGAAGGAGAGTTGAGAACCATGGCTGGCATGGCCACCAGGGGGTGATCAGTAGCCCTGTGGCCCCTTCGTGAATGATCTTTGCCAACACTCTCATGATGAGTGGGATCCGAGGGAAAGCATAAAAAGTCATATTTGTCTAGGGGACCATGAAAGCGTCCCCGAGCGAGTCCTGATCCATCCCTGCTCTGGAACAATAGGCCGTGCATGCCCTGTTCTGTTGTGTGGCAAACAGGTCGATGTCTGGCTAGCCCCATCGGTGAAATAGCGTGTCGCGAACCCGATGGTCTAGCTTTCATTCGTGTGACCGCGACATATGTCTGCTCAAGAGATCCGCGTCTGTATTGTCCGTGCCAGCAAGATGAACTGCTAGAAGAGTGATACTTCTCGGTATGCACCAGTCCCAAATCTGCATAGCCAGGCGGGCTAGTTTCCGGGATCGGGTTCCCCCTTGTTTGTTCAAATAAAAACCATTGCCATGTTGTCTGAGGTCACCTGGATGACCTGATGTAGAAGCACGTCCTCGAATGATTGCAGGGCTTTGAAAATGGCAAGAAGTTCCAGAAAATTGATATGGTTCCTGCAATCCCGGTGACGCCATATCCCCTGGGTACGTAGATCGGAGGAAATGGCTCCCCATCCCAGCAGGGACACATCAGTGCCGAGGGTTACTGTAGGGTACCGGGGTCGAAACGGAACACCGACAGTCAGATTGGCTGGGTCTATCCACCATAACAGGGACTGAAGAATGGAAGCCGGGAGTCGAATCCGTTTGGTAGGTGGATCTGTCTGTGGTCGAAACATTCCGTTGAAGAACAGCTGAAGGGGACATAGCCTGAGTTTGGCATGTGGAACCACAGCAATGGAAGCAGACATGTGTCCCAACAGGCTCTGAATAGACCGGGTGGGGACGGTTCTTGCTTGTCGAATCCAAGCGATGCACTGAGCAATCGCATGCCTTCTGTCCCGAGGAAGGAAGGCTCTTGCCAACGTCAAATCCAGCCGGGCTCCGATAAAGTTGATCACCTGCGTAGGGAGAAGGGAAGATTTCTGTTGATTAATACAGAGTCCGAGGTCGTGCAATAGAGCACATGTAAACTCAACAGCAGACGAAAGCCCTGCCTCTGTGTCGGAGACCAGCAACCAATCATCAAGGTACGGGTATATCCGAATTCCACATAATCGAAGGTGTGCACAGACAGGAGCCATACACTTCGTAAAAACCCTTGGTGCAGTGGCTAATCCAAACGGTAGCACCTTGAATTCGTAGATTTCAGAGTCCACCGCAAAATGAAGGAAGCGCCTATAACTTGGATGTATTGAAATATGAAAATAGGCATCCTTCAGATCCAATGAGGCAAACCAATCCCCTCTTCCCAGCAACGGGAGAATACTCTGAAGTGTGGTCATCCGAAACTTCTTTGGTGTTATGAATCTATTGAGAGCTCTCAAGTCCAATATTGGTCTGAGACCCCCATCTCGTTTCAGGACCGTAAAGTATCTGGAATAGAATCCGTGGAATCCCTCCAATAACGACAGGCGACGAATAGCTCCTTTAGCAAGGAGTTGGTGAATCTCGTCTAACAGTACCGAGGAAGTCAGAGTATAGCAGATAGGATTCGGTGATGGCTCAACGTCGAATTCGATTCCATATCCGTGCTGAATGATGGATAACACCCACCCATAGATGTGATGGACTCCCAAATGGAGAGCCTACTCTTCAGTCGGTCCCCAAATGAGAGGGGGGGAGGGTAGAGTTGGAATGAGAGGAAAGGTTCACTCGTCGCATCAGTGCTGTCGCCTGTCCGTATCAAAGCGGCGGCGGCCCTGTTGGAAGTGCTGGGATGGTTGTTGCCTGCGACGCTGCTGACGTTGATGCGGTTGCTGTTGCCGAGGCGAAAATTGTTGATGGTACTGTGGGCGTGACCATGACCACTTACGTCGGGATAGAGATTGCAATTCCATATGACGAGCCGCCATCCTTGATTCGTGGATTTTCTTCAATTTGCTATCCATCCTCGCATGGAAGAGAGCGGAACCATCGAACGGCATCTCCTCAATTCTCCGCTTCATCTTGTCCGGAAAATTGCAATTACGCAACCAGGCGTGTCTGCGGAGGGAAATGGCACCAACCAGCGACCTCGAATCAGAGTCCACGTGGTGCCTCGCGGTGGAAAGCTGTTGCACCGCCACTTGCATAGCTTCCTTAACAAAAGTCTTAGCAAGTTCGCCCTGGTTTCCCAGGAGGGTATCACTGATGGCGTCCAGGCGTTGCATAAGGAAATATTGGTAACGCGCCAGGGTTGCCTCATAATTAGAAATTCGTAAACCAAGGCCTGAAGCTGTGTATACCTGGCAGGCGAGGGAATCAACTTTTCTTCCCTCCTTGTCACGAGGCGAGGTGTGTCCATGGGCTTCCCGACCCTGGGAGGATTCTATAACAACCGAATTCAGCTTGGGGTGAAGGAGAAGAAATGGGATGTCCTCCTCCCGCACCCAATACATAGCCTCGTATTTATGAGAAGTCGGCTGTGGGTGAGCTGGGAGGTCCCATGGCTGGGTCATTGCCTGCTGTAAGGTCGTAATAAACGGCAAGGCAATAGATGTAGATCGTTCACCCCTGACCACATCATAAAAACGGTCGGTGCTCGGTCCCGGCTGTTGGTGGGCTTCAATATCAAGCGACCTCACTAGTCTGGCCATCAGATCGTTAAATGATATATACGGTTCCTCGGGAGACCCCGGGCCGTGAGAAGCAACCGCTGCGTCCGGCAAGGTCGAGTCAGCCTCAGACTCGTCGGATTCCATTCAGTAGGGGGGTGGTACACTGGAGGAAGAATCTCCTGGTGACTCTGATCTGTCACTTTCTTTAGATGGGGCCCTCGGGGCGTCTCTGGGCGTTGAATGGAAATGTTCCCGAGGTGCTGGTGGTGAAGATTGTCCCCTGGAGGCCAGATAATAGGCCACAGAGCGGTACTCTTCCCTTCTCGGAGCGGAGGAGTACCTGGAATGGTACCAGTCATCAGACCTCGCATCCGAGGAACGGCTCCTATGGCTTCTCGGAGGGGAGATGGTGATCTTGGTATCCATCGGGGTTGGTGATCGAGCTCTAGGTGGAGAATCTCGTATTTCCCCATCTGAGATGGAACCACACCGTGAATCCAGAATGGGTTCGGCTGTCATTCGGCGTGGTGAGCCCAGTGGAGTAACCCTCATAGCCGCCTGGATGGTCAGGACCGAGGGGGTCGGTTCCGAAGCAGGGATCAGAATCAAGGAAGTGGCCAAGCCCGAGTGGCGATGTTTTGCCTACTCAGGGTTCTTCGGCTTCTTAACCGACTTGCCCATCTTACCTTTCTTGGCCTTCTTATGCACAGGATATTTATCTGAGTCGCTGTGCTTTCTTTTCTCCTTTTGTTTCCTTGGCAGGGAAACAGACTGGTCGGCCATGGTATGAGCACCTTCTTCAGAAGGGCGTGAGGGCGGAGCAATGGAGGAAGAGGCCAGGCGTTGCAGCAGGTCAGCCAAAGTTGGATGGCCTTCGGGTGGGGCCACAACAGTGGAAGGCTTAGCCACCAGCCGGTCCGATTGGAGGAGAGCCTGGTCCCACAAGAGTTTGCGGAGGCAGTTCTCCCTGTTCTTCCTTGCCTGTTTAGAGAAGGCCAAGCAATGGCCGCACTTATCGGTTCTGTGCCCTTCCCCCAAACAAAGGAGGCACAGATCATGCGGGTCCACGGCGGGCATTTTGGAGCCGCATTTTCCGCACTTGCGGAACGCCGCCCATTGTGCCATCGTAGAAAGAAGAAAAAAGGAGATAGTAAAGCGGGAATGTAATATTTTTGTTTTTGTTTTGTTTTTATAGGAACGATAAAGAGGAAAAAATGGTGCAAAGTTAAGAAGAAATATAAGTGAAGTACTAACAACAAGAACAAGGGATACAAACTTGGTAGGAAAAAGGAGAGATTTTCGAACGAGCAAGAAGGTAAGTAATAATCTTAGCGAGAGCGAAGCGGCACGAGGCACAACGAACGGCGGTCGCAAAGACTGGAAAATGGCGGATGCTCCGCTCCTTATATAATGCTAGGGGGGAGGGGGAGCGGAGTTCCCGCCAAAAACCGTTAGCTGTTAATCTTCCGGCCAAAGGCACTGCGCAGGCGCAGAACCCATATGTGTGATGCAGAGAGGCCACGACGAAGAAAAGACCAAGGCAAAGTGGCGGAAGGGGGAACGGGCAGGCTGGAAGAGAAACCACACAGCCGGCCGAGAGGTAGGAAGATTGACCATGAAGCTGGAAGCGGAGAGGGAGGGGGAAATCGCAGAAGTAGGAGCAGGGATAGGGATTGGAGCCAGAGAAACAGTAAGCCCAACGTGTGGGGCTGGGGAAAGAAACAGAGCAGCCGGAGGGAGAGGGAAGCTGCGAGGCAGGGCGGTGGAGGGGAGAGAAGAAAGGACAAGGTAAGGGGCTAGGAAGAGAGGGAAAGAAAGGGGATAGGAACGGAGAAGCAGGCCCCAAGGGAGCAGTAATCTGGCAGAAAACCATCTCCGATTGTTCATTTCGAATTCTCATGCAATTATTGTTTTCAGATGTTTACTTGGATGGGATTCCGATTCCTTTGTGTCTTCATCTTTTTCTTCTTCTTTGGACTCATCCAGTTCCTTACTATATTCCAATGTTGACCGCTTTAGTTGCTCTTCCGTGTGAGCGTTCTGTTCATCCACAACTAAAAGAAAAACACACACAAGCGTTGTTGCCCAGAGCCACTAAATAAGAGTAAGCTGCCAACAGGGGGGTGTGAGGAATCCGCCAGGACTGGGAATCCATTAGATCCCTGAGGCTCAGCCAGGCCGTAGCCTGTGTCCCCGGAGAGGACGCCCAGCCTTCGCGAGTGCCAGGAGTCCAGTCCTGAGCACAGCCGTCCCGTCCCCCTGCAGCAGGAGTCCAATGCAGAGCCGGGACTGCGCTGCTGGCGGCCACAGGGGCTCCCCAGGAAAGGAGCTGCATGCAGCCACTAGCAGCGTCCCTCTCCCACACAACCCCCGCCTGTGCGGCGGAAGGACGCTTCATGCACAGGAGTTGCGCAGGGATCCGTTCCTGGCAAGCCTCACTCGACCGATCTTCTTCTGATCAAGTGAGACTTCATCCCACAAACATTTATTCATGCATTATGCATTCAGAACATTTGTATGCCACCCAATTGTTCCACAGCACCTCTGGGCAGCTCACAACACAAGATAAAAACACAATAAAACATAATAAAAACCATAACATATTACACATTAGAAACAGCAATGTTGTTGTTAGTCACAAAGTCGTGTCCGACCCATCGCAACCCCATGGACAACATTCCTCTAGGCCTTCCCGTCCTCCACCATCCCCCAGAGTCCATCCAAGCTCACACCAACTGCTTCAGTGACCCCATCCAGCCACCTCATCCTCTGCCGTCCCCTTCTTCTTTTGCCATCTATTGTTCCCAGCATTAGGCTCTTCTCCAGGGAGTCCTTCCTTCTCATTAGGTGGCCAAAGTATTTGAGTTTCACCTTCAGGATCTGGCCTTCTAAAGAGCAGTCAGGGTTGATCTCCTCTAGGACTGACCGGTTTGATCGCCTTGCGGTCCAAGGGACTCGCAGGAGTCTCCTCCAGCACCACAATTCAAAGGCCTCAGTCCTTCGGCGCTCTGCCTTCCTTATGGTCCAGCTTTCACAGCCATACATTGCAACTGGGAAAACCATAGCCTTGACTAAACGCACTTTTGCTGGCAGGGTGATGTCTCTGCTTTTTAGAATGCTGTCTAGATTTGCCATAGCTTTCCTGCCCAGGAGCAAGCGTCTTTTAATTTCTTGGCTGCAGTCCCCGTCTGTGGTGATCTTGGAGCCCAGGAAAATAAAATCTGTCACTACCTCCATTTCTTCTTCCCCATCTATTTGCCAGGAAGTGAGAGGACCGGATGCCATGATCTTAGTACTCTTAATGCTGAGTTTCAAGCCAGCTTTTGCGTTCTCCTCCTTCACCCGCATCAAGAGGCTCTTTAGTTCCTCTTCACTTTCTGCCATGAGAGTGGTATCATCTGCTTATCTGAGGTTGCTGATATTTCTCCTGGCAATCTTAATTCCAACTGGTGATTCATCCAGCCCCGCCTTTCTCATGATGTGCTCTGCATATAAGTTAAAAAGGCAGGGTGACAGTATATGGCCTGCCGAACTCCTTTCTCAGTTTTGAACCAATCAGTGGTACTGTGTCCAGTTCTCACTGTTGCTTCTTGACCCACATATAGGTTTCTCAAGAGACAAATAAGATGGTCTGGTACTCCCATCTCTTTAAGAACTTGCCACAATTTGTTGTGATCCACACAATCAAAGGCTTTAGCATAGTCAATGAAGCAGAAGTAGATGTTTTTCTGGAACTCCCTAGCTTTCTCCATGAGCCAGCGTATGTTGGCAATTTGATCTCTAGTTCCTCTCCCTCTTCGAAATCCTGCCTGTACTTCTGGTAGTTCTCGGTCCACACACTGCTGGAGTCTAGCTTGTAGGATTTTGAGCATAACTTTGCTAGCATGTGAAATGAGTGCAATGGTGCGGTAGTTTGAACGTTCTTTGGCATTGCCCTTCTTTGGGATCAGAATGTAAACTGACCTTTTCCAATCCTGTGGCCACTGTTGAGTTTTCCAAATTTGCTGGCATATTGAGTATAGCACTTTTACTGCATCGTCTTTTAGGATTTTGAGTAGCTCAGCTGGAATACTGTCTCCTCCACTAGCTTTGTTGTTGCTCAGACTTCCTAAGGCCCATTTGACTTCACATTCCAAGATGTCTGGCTCGAGGTCAGTGACCACCCTATCGTGGTTATCAGGGATGTTAAACTCTTTCTTGTATAGTTCTTCTGTGTAATCTTGCCACCTCTTCTTAATCTCTTCTGCCTCTGTTAGGTCCCTGCCATTTTGGTCCTTTATCATGCCCATCTTTGCATGAAATGTTCCCTTCATATCTCCAATTTTCTTGAAGAGATCTCTGGTCCTCCCTATTCTATTGTTTTCTTCTATTTCTTTGCACTGTTCATTTAAGGAAGCATTCTTATCTCTTCTAGCTAATCTCTGGAATTCTGCATTCAGTTGGGTGTATCTTTCCCTTTCTCCCTTGCCTTTCGCTTCCCTTCTTTCTTCAGCTATTTGTCAAGCTTCCTCAGACAGCCATTTTGCTTTCTTGCATTTCTTTTTCTTTGGGATGGTTTTAGTTGCTACCTCTTGTACAATGTTGCGAATCTCCGTCCATAGTTCTTCAGGCACTCTGTCTATCAGATCTAATTCCTTAAATCTATTTGTCACCTCTACTGTATATTTATCAGGGATATGAATTAGGTCATACCTGAGTGGCCCAGTGATTTTCCCTACTTTCTTCAATTTAAGCCTAAATGTTGCAATGAGAAGCTCATGATCTGAGCCACAGTCAGCTCCTGGTCTAGTTTTTACTGACTGTATAGAGCTTCTCCATCTTTGGCTGCAGAGCACATAGTCAATCTGATTTCTGTGATACCCATGTATAGAGTTGTCTCTTGGGTTGTTGGAAAGGTATGTTTGCTATGACCATCGTATTCTCTTGACAAAATTCTACCAGCCTGTGCCCTGCTTCATTTTGTACTCCGAGGCCAAACTTGCCTGTTATTCCAGTTATCTTTTGGCTTCCTACTTTTGCATTCCAATCTCCCATGATGATAAGGACATCGTTTTTTGGTGTTAATTCTAGAAGGTGTTATAGGCCTTCATAGAACTGGTCAACTTCAGCCTCTTCAGCATCAGTGGTTGGGGCATAGACTTGGACTATTGTGATGTTGAATAGTTTGCCTTGGATTCAAACTGAGATCATTCTGCCATTTTGGAGATTGTATCCCAGTTTTGCTTTTCCTACTCTTTTATTGACTATGAAGGCTACTCCGTTTCTTCTGAGGGATTCTTGCCCACAGTAGTATACCTGATGGTCATCTGAATTAAATTCACCCATTCCTGTCCATTTTAGTTCACTGATTCCTAAGATGTTGATGTTCAGTCTTGTCATCTCTCGTTTGACCACGTCCAGCTTGCCTTGATTCATGGATCTTACATTCCAGGTTCCTATGGAGTATAGATCTTTGCAGCATCGGACTCTCCTTTCACCACCAGATACATCTGCAACCGAGTGTCCTTTCGGCTTTGACCCAGTCGCTTCATTCTTTCTGGCGCTACTAGTACTAGCCCTCTGCTCTTCCCCAGTAGCACACTGGACACCCTCCGACCTGAGGGGCTCATCTCCCGGCATCTTATCTTTTTGCCTTTTGGTACTGTCCATGGTGTTTTCATGGCTAGGATACTGGAGTGGGTTGCCATTTCCTTCTCCAGTGGATCGCGGTTTGTCAGAGCTGTCTGCTATGACTTGTCCGTCTTGGGTGACCCTGCACAGCAGAGCTCATAGCTTCATTGTGCTACGCAAGCCCCTTCGCCATGACAAGACAGTGATCCATGACAGAGAAAAACAACAATAAAATACAGCAAAACATAAAAAAGTCTATGGCAATTAGGTATTAAAATGTTTTTTCAAAAGGAAGGTCTTCACCTGGCACTGAAAAGAAGGTAAGGAAGGCGCCAGGTGAGACTCCCTGGGGAAAGCATTCCAGATGGTGGGAGCAGCTGCCGAAAAGGCCCTCCTCCTCATGCCCCCCTCTCCTCTCCTTCAGGGATGGCTCGCACGGGAGGCCCCCTGCGCAGATCGCAACGGCTTCCGCTCTGCTCCCTGGCAAGACTGTGCTGAGCACAGGGAGAAGCCCGTTATTCTAGAAGGAAAGTTGCCACTAGGGTTTGACCCATCCTTAGTTGCAAATAAAAATGACAATGGAGCGGCTGTTGGGCCTGTGATTGCGCTCTCTCCCTCCAGAACAGAAATGAGGTTTGCACACTTCCTTTTCATTAGACTTCCTCATGAGAAAATTACGCAGCGCATGTGCATTCATGGTTGGGTTTGCACTTCCCTGCAGTACAAGAAGGATTATCAAAGCACTGCTTAATTTTTAATAGAAATCTGCGAGACAATATCCCATTCACAAGGTGAATGTGCTCATTATGGGAGCAGCGGCCATGAAAAGGAAGCCAGACACACCCGGCCCTGTAGCTGCCCCCAGCAGAAACTCTCGTGTCAATGTGCCCGCTTCTTCCTGGAACACTTTATGGCTCTGCTGGAATTGCCTTGGTACCAGCCGCCTAGACTTCATGCAAGCGACTGTAGAATCATTTTTAAGCCATGGGCTGAATTAGGTTTTCTGAAACAGCAGCACCCCAAATCCACCAAAACAGTTTCAACCTGGGTCATTAAAGGGATCTAACAGAAAGGGTATCTTTCCCTAGGAACTGTACGCCCCCTGGGAAAATGTCCTGAATCTTCACTCGCAGACACAACCGCCATCAGTAGAAACGCCTTAGCATTTGTCCTGTGCAACAGTCGGGCTCACTTTCTAGGCGAACCCTTGGTATGAGTCCGATTCAGGGCAGAGAGAAGTGAGTTGAGGTCCGGGGAGACAAGCCAAGCAATCCAACTCATTCTCACCCCAAACTGGATTCCTCACATACCCCTTGGAGAGAAAATGGCAGCCTCAGGGGAGACGAGGTCTCTGTTTTTAAATGTTAAATGGCTGAAGATTTGGACTGGGCCAGGCCTTCCTGCCCATGAGGAAAAATCCCAAGACAAGCTCCCTTGCAGATACATACCCTTTTCAGCTTGCTCAATTATTTGCCTCAGAGCTTTCTTCAAGCTGTTTGCTCGGAGCATCAGCTGCTCTCGGGGCTTGAAGATCTGGTGCGGAGCGGGTGCTGCATTGTTCTCCATCGGCAGTTCCTTGACGCCAGACAAAGACTCTTCGCTCGATGTTTCTTCGCCTTCTTCTTCTTCTACCATGGGAGGAGTGACCCTCGGCGACGGAGGGGAGACCTGTGCTTCAGCATGGAGGGCCTGAAGGAGCAGGTTGAGCTTCTCATTTAGCTCGGAGCACTGCAGTGCGACAGGTGACCCAAAAGGGAGAGAGGCACACAGAAGGCCCAAAATAATCTTTAGAAGCCCAAACGGCTGGTTTAAACCACAAAACACTTCTAAATTCTCACTGGCATTCGAATTGGTTTCACTTCTCCATTTAGTGGGAGCAGGATGAAGAAAATAGCTAACATCCTGCCAGTCCACACTAGCATCCTCTGCTGTTTGTGCCCTGCTATCGCTCTCGCCACTATTTTTATTAGAGCAGCGGTGGAAAATGGGTGTGGAGTTGACCTATTTATGTCACACTGAATCAACGGTGGTCACGACCACCATCAGGAAGTGGCCTGTCAAAGGACAGATCCAGACAGACCACACTGCGTTCCCACTAGTTGAACAAACAAAAAACCTATCGGGCATTGAAAAATGGCTTGATGCGGCTGCCTCTTGGCCCCTGAAGGCAGGGCAATACCAAGACAGGCTGTTTGGTTTGGCATCGCTGACTCCAAGGAGTCTAACCTCGAAGAAGGTTGTCCCCCTAAATGCAAGTCTTTGGCAGGCCGGGGCCTTGCGAAGGCGCCCCAGGAGCTGTCTGTGACCCAGCTTGGCTTGTCTGTATTTCCTCCTCTTTCTTCTCTGAAAAGTCTATGCTCGGAGGAATATGAGCACAACGAATAGCATTCTGTGAAGTGAGAGCCTAGAGAGAGAGGGAACAACATCTACCAAAATTCTCTTAATTGAGAGGGGACTTCTTTGATCCTTGGGCAAACGTCACAGGACGGTAGGATTGCTCAAAGGCACCCTTCCAAGGTCCAAGGAAGTGCCCCACCTAGCCGGGGGATGGAGAGCTCGCCTCACCTCCACCTGCGCCTCGCCAGTACAGAACGGCCTGTGCCAACTCAGAAAAACCACCGCAGGGACGGAGGAAAGAGGAGGGTCCGGTGGACAGGGAGGGGAGATTTATCCTGAGCCTCTCCCAGCCCCCCGCCTGCCGCCCCTCAAGGCCCATGAAGTGAAATCTGCAGGGCAGAAGGCCCGCAATGGGAAAATCCTGCCCAGATGCCTCCACGCTGCAGTCGCCGAGGCCACAATCCATGGGATCGCACTGAAAGCGATCTGTGGATTTAGGAAAGACTCTTTCCCAACAAAAAATGACTTTGCCTTTCCACCGGAGATTCCAGGCAGCTTACACAGAATTAAAAATAAATCTAAATCCGCAAATCCAAATTAAACTATTATACAGATTTAAGTCATCCCAAGCCCTGATGACTTCCGCCACCTATCAGTTCCTATAAATATTTGTGAATGCATGCAAGGGAGGACATGCTAATGTTGGAAATAATTTAATATCGATATGAATCATTGAATAGCAGAGTTGGAAGGGGTCAGAGGGCCATCGAGTCCAACCCTCTGCTCAGTACAGGACTCCCAGTCAAAGCATCCCTCCCAGATGGCCGTCCAGCAATTTTTAAAGGAATGGAAGCTTAATTCTTACTTTAATGGCCATTGTGTCGGCATCGGCGTTTTCCACTGGTCTTTCACTGGTCTTCCCTATTTTGGCAACAAAACCTTTGACGGTTTCACATAAGATCCTTTTTTCAAAAGAGAAAGAAAAGCCAAAGCAAAGAGAAAGGGAATTGATGATGTGGGAACATTAATTTTGTATGAGACATTAAGGTTCGTTTTCCCACTAAAATGAAAACTCATTAATACTTTTAACTGCAGTGCAATTTTTATCCCAGAGGCGAGCGGCCTGCAAGATTTCACCGGCCATGTGTGCTCGAGCCTTTTCAACCGCGGCTCCAACGCTTCTGCCCCGGAGGCGAGAGGGTGCGGTAGCAACACGGGGTCTGAGGGCTGTGAGGGAGGAAAGGGGTCATAAGCCCCCCAAAATGGCAGCCCGCCAATCTGTGCCAAGACTTCTGTCACAGCATGTCCTCCAAACATGGCGGAAGTTGCTCAATGACATTTATTCAGTTATTATATTTACCCCCCACGTTTTCTCCTACAGGGAACTCAAGGGGGCTTCCTATCCCACCTCCTCCCCACTTTATCCTCACAACAACCCTGTGAGGTAGGTTAGGCTGAGAGCCTGACTTCCTGGCTGAGTGTGGATAAAACCTGGATCCCTGAGACCGGGGATTTAGCGACACTAAGCCCCAAACAAACTGTAGCCAACATGCTGCTGCAGGGACCCAGTGCTATGAAAGGCACGCCGATGTGCCTTTTCTAAATAAAAGGTCACTTCAAAACCTTTAACATTTCAACTGGTTCATGAATCGCACTGCAAAATCTGACATGCCGTAATTTGACACATAAGGTATAAAACATCGCTTTGCCCTTATGACTTGCCTTAAACCAAGGGATTTGCCTTAAACCAAGGCAGTCGTGTAAACTCTACAAAAGCAACTTCATTTAGTGCACAATAGAACTATGAGAAATATTTTGCCATTAAGGAATATTTTAAGGCAGTTGGGCTCTGCAGTGCACAACTTTTAATTTTGGGGGCAATTACTAATAATTGACTTCAAACCATAATTAGGCAAATGCTAACTATGAGATAGATTAGCCACATTTAATGTAAGCTACCCAGAAATGTTATCTCTTGACTATATATGCACTTTAAGTAAACAGATACACTGCTGCAGTGAGCAAATATGAACTGCACTCCCAATTCACTGATACGCCACCCTGGACTCTGAAGAATGAACATACACAGGATACGGAGAGAGATCCAAGTCGCTCAGCATCAGACGTTAATATACTACATGCAGCAACTTTACAAACAGAAAGGATTCGAACAGCTGTGTTGAATCACTTGAATTAGTCCAGTGACGGACTTCAAATTCAGACAGAATTTTCCCCTGCTTGCATGTCTTCTACAGAAGATGCAACACAATCACGTCTGTACACAGTATTGTGAATTTCAGATCATTGTACTTACTTGGCAGATGATATGACAACAGAGTGCTGATCAGAATCTAGGATCTTGGCCAGGTGAGCAGCCACCGAATCTTCGTACGCAGACATCTGAAAGGGAAGCAAACATCCCTCATATTCTAACCTCCTGCTCTCAATGTGAAACCTTCTATGAAGATCTCAGCTGATAAAAGCCCCGGCATGACTTTTTAATGCAACCCTTAGATGGCAATCTTATGCACATTTACTCAGGAGTAAATTCATGGAACTCGACAGAAGGTACACGTTTGCACTGTTAAGACTGTTGCATATTGCTCAAGTTAGAGATCACCCTTCACCTGACATTCTTCAGATTCTTCTTCAGGTGTAACAGAAAGAATTGACGGCTTTGGTGGTAATCTCAATTCATACGACATTATGCTCCACCTGGGCAAGAAAAGACCAGCCGTGAGACGGACCAAACTCATGCAGCGGGATCAATGATGTTTTCCACCGCAGTAACAAGAAAACAATTGTGAAAGGCAGTTATCCCAAGATAATTTCATTCTTGTGAATGAGACAAATTAGGGATGCGTGCGTGGGGCATTTACCTACCTGTCTAACATTTTAGTGCTCGCCCGTTCTAACTTTTCCAAAATCTGGGGAAGCTGCGTGTCATCATCACATGACCCTCCCCAGCCGAGGACTCTGGCAAGGTCGTTCCCTGTACCAAGCGGGAGAACTCCCAGATGACACTAAAATGCAATTAAAAAGTATTCCGTTTAAGTTTTATGTATGTATGTATGTATGTGTTTCTGTTGTGAGCCGCCCCGAGGCTTTGTTGCGATGGGGGCAGCATAAAAATGTTTTAAATAAATAAATAAATAATAAGTTTAATCACAAAATAATACTGGCTTGTAATCATGGAAGAACTGTTTGCTTTTCTTTCAGTTTCAGGGATCTTTAAAAATTCTTGCTGGTTGCACCTTCTCCCTGTATGAAGAAATTAATACTTACTTGTTTGTGTAAGTTGAGCTTATCAATTTCAGAGAGCACCCAGCCAACGCTTCCATCTCCTCCGCACACTAAGATTCGAAAATTGTCGAATTTCTGAAATAAGCGTAAACTGAAAGGGAACACATTTTCAGTATGCAAATCCACAGGCAGGTACGCTCCAGCATCTTAAGAACATCCGTCCGGGATCCACACTAGACCGTGACATGAGCATCCCACTTCCGTGCCACGTGACGTTCACCCCAGGCTGCTCTCCTTGCATTATTTCTACCATGTTATCCTGACTGGTTTTCTCATGACTTCTTTGTGTTGCATATTTCCTTCTTTGGAAATATTCAACACTTCTTTGTGTTGCTGGCCCCACTCCCTTAACTCTGCCGGGGGAGAATTTCAGCAACAGCGCCCACCTGACCCTCTATCTCCTTGCCTTCTCTTCCCTCCAGAAGGGGAAAGAGGGACTGTCATTTTTCCCCTTAAAAATTAATCACGTCTTCACTCTTATAGCTCGTAGCTTTTAATTCACATATGAAGAATTCCAGAATCTGTAAGCCTTAGAATCTGCAGTTCTGAAATAGCCATGATAAAATGTGATAAAATCACCAGTGGTGCGAGAAGATGATTTAAGTATGCCAATTATGCAACAACCTCCTCCGAGACTTTGAAAAACGATGCTAGATATTAAATTACCCTAAATGAGGGCCTCCATTCATTAAATCGAACACCTGAGCGGGATTTAGCGACTGCTTAAACCGGCGAAGAAACTTTACTCCCTGATTGTCGCCACTCTTCGAATTCACGAAAACCAAGAGAGGACTGGCGCAGGTCGGTGGGCAGGTTGCTTTCCAGAATCCTGAAAATACAGTGTTTAAAACACCAGATCACATGTGTCAGCACGGGAGAGCCATGTTCTCCCTACCATCTCCCAGACAGAATAGCCCATCTAAGAAGCCAGTTGGCCTAGACCGTGGAGGGAGGTCCAGTGGTGCCTTCCCCAGTTATCAACAACATGGCGGCTGGGATTTGTTGAGGTGACCATCTGCGCAAGTCCTGTTGGACTTCACCTTCCGTGAGCAACACCTCAGCCAACCCCTGTCAGCAAGTCATCAACGCCGTAGGGCACCCAACCGTCTCTTCCGTCCCACTTGTCTTCCCTCCCAGCATCTGTTTGCATCGAGTACCTTAGCGGCTGGCTTGCAAGAGGACTGGGCCGCTTTTCTTGTGGAACAAGGACAGTGGCAGCAGCTTCCCTCGAGCAGAAGGGATATTTTACAGCACAGCTTCTTGGATATGCAACGCTCACGCCAGTGAGGTTCAACTGGAACCAACACGGTCGTATTTCCAGCAGCAGGTCAAACAGATGATGGCCTTTCTATGAACCAGTTATTTTAATTATGCTACACGCTAATGGTTTAGTTGATTTATTTATTATTTAGTTGCCTTATTATGTTTTGGTATTCCTAAGGGAAATTGCTGTTAGTTCTATGCTTCACTGACTGTTATAAATCATCATGGGTCTTTTTCAAGAGAAAGAGAACTAAGAAATTCCTTATTTTTTATTGCCACCACCATTAGCTTCATCTTCATAGTACTATCATTAGAATTTAAACATTAGCATTTAAATTTTTTTATAACTTATAGCTTTTGGAATGATGCATTTTTGCAACATTTCCTGTATTGAGAAGCCATTTTGCAATACCGCATTATCACACTGCAGCGGCCTTTGAGTAACACTGCAATGCAAGGTTCTTGCGCCCGGCTTCATTTGCTTTCCACCTTCCCCAGCAAACTGCGGTCCCACATCGCAGAGAAGCACATGCCCCAAAGCCTACGTACCATCAGAATCAATGCTGTTCAGCGCCGTGGGTGGAATTATGGATACTTTACATTGGCCAAGCGGACACTTGCGCGAATACAAATCTCTGCAGGCCGTGTGCACCTAAAAACAATTAGCAGCGCGTGAGCCACGGACTGGTCACAACTTCCCCAGTACCCAACACTGTATGGCAAAAAGCACACGTGTGGATTTTTTTCTCAAGGAAATATGCAGGGCACCCTTTGCCATTTGAGAAACTTCATCGGTGGACGTCTACTGGAGCATTTCCTTGCCCTGTCTTAGGCACTACATCCTATTCAGCAAAAGCTTTCTTTTGTGTCCAAAAGCTTTGGATTCTGCAAGGTCACAGGGACTGTTCGATCCAACTGACTTTGGGTAGTGCAATGCAGCTCATGCTTCTTTTAAACATATGCTTTAGTAATGTCCAATAGTTGGTTCGTTTTGGTAGGAAACTATTACACAGATGAAATTTGTACTGGAATAGTCCTTAATATTTGCTTATTTATTTTATTTATTCATTTACAGTTTTCTATACCATCTTACATTTTCAAAAACTGTCAAGACTTATGCGCATGTTCTTTTAAATTATTTGCCTGCTTCATGGAAATTAACAAATGGGCAGTGTGAATAGATTCTCTGTAACTTTTTGACATAGAAAACACTGATGATATGATGTGGGAAAATAAGAAAAGTTGCAAGGAAACTAAAGTGCAGGAGAAGAAGGAGAATGCTGGAAAATATGAGCCAGGAAAGCAATAGCAAACGAGGAGCCAAGTCCCAAGTCGCCCGGAACGGCTGTCAGAAGGGAAACGAGGAAGGAGGTGGGAACTTCACAGACATACCAAGGGACGGGCGGGGAGAGATTCTCACCAAAATGATTCTAGCCTGGAAACCTTCCACGCAACAGGTTCTCTCCAGAAGCAAATCCCGTATGTGTGATGCACAGAGACCATGGAGAACCAAGAGCTGCAAGTCTTACTTGGTTCACTTGAAGATCAAAAATAATAGCTGAATATTTGTGAGGAGGAATTTTAATCTGCAATGTCTGTGAGTGAAAGGAAGGCTATCTTTTGTGTTGCTGGGAATGCACTATTGCAATAAGAAATGCTAACAAGCGCGTGTGTGTTTCAACGACATCACTCCATTGTTTATCCAATTGACCAAGCCACCTGTAGTCAGCTGACAGCCTTAGCCACTCCCAAAGCCCTCCTCACCAAGCAAGAGGTGGATCAAGTGGAGTATTTTGGAAGCAGACAGACTCTAACCAGCGGGACATACCATAGTTTTACACCAAAGGCACTTCCAATCCTGCAGGCGCAAAACGCTACCGCACGTCTTGTCGCAAACTGCACATCTGGCGCTGACCGGCAGGTTCCCCTCCAGCCACTGGTGAGGCATCGCGACCTGGAGGGGCCGGGGAGGCCGGGGGAGGAAACGGCCGCGTCACTTCCCTTCAGGTCTCCCCCACTCTCAGCAGTCCTTCCCGCCACTTAGTTTAGACTGGTTCCGTTTTGGTGCAAGGACATCCCTCCCACGGCTCCTGGAGTCTCGCCATGGTCAATACATGCTCCAGCCATGCCCGCCATGGCCGTCGGCACCCGCCGCACGCAGAGAGGCGGCAATTTGCTCACTCGGAGAAAATGAACTCCAGTCGAGCAAGCTGCTGCCTCGTGGCGCCCGCCCGCCCCCGCCTCAGTGTGCACGCCCACACACACCACCCCCACCCCCGTGCTGGCCCACGCACACCGCCGGCACCCCCTCGCCGGCCCGTGCCCAGCACCAGCCCCTTTCGACTGGCCCCCTGCTTTAAAAGTCCGGGGACCCCTGCTCTGCACAAACACCTGGATGCCGGCCACGAGGGTGACGACGCTTCTGTTTCTGGACCACAAAACGAGGCTGCCTATCTGTTGTGAAATCACCCACTTGCTGCAGGAGGAGGAGAACTGGTTGCACAGAGAAAAGCAGCCCGTGCACAGAAGAATCCGTTCTCTCCCCTGTGGCCTCCTTGAAAAAGATCCAAGGACTCGCCCGGGACATGGTCACGGGCCTCAGCCCAGGAGTTCAGAACGTCCTGAAGCAAAGGAGGTGGTGGGGAGCACCTGAAGGCAGATAAGGGTCCATAACAAAATACAATAAATCCTAGCCTGCCAAACTCTTACTGTGTGCATTTCTTTTCTTTATATAAAGGAAGCACACGGTGGTGTTGCCTGCAGCGTGACATAAATACTTACACCATCTTCATCCTCAATAATATCCTTTCCGATCGACGTCAGCGTGGTCCATTTGCAATTGTTTATGGCCCTAACGGCGCATCTTTTGTGAGCCTTAAACTTGCACACTAGAAGAAAAGAGACACGTGCTCATGAGGGAGTCCTCGCATGCCATTCTGGCAGAAGTTCAACCACACACTCAGACATCCATCATGGCAGTTTCACATTGCTTTCCAGCCCAGAGCAGTGGCCACTTGTTCCATCCTTCCTTGGTCCCACAGTGGAAAGGTGCCTCAGGCTGCAGACAGAACTTTTGGGGCATAGCAAAGAAAAACACGCCAACAGAAACTATTACTGGGTGGTCCTTTTGCCACTGCAAAAGTCCACAGGAGGGACATCTTCAACACTTCAAAACCTTTGGGGCGTGGGGGAACACAGAAACAGCCAGGGTGGTCCCCAAACCCCAATGCAGCCTCCTAAAGGCATTACACCAGCCCCCCCCCCCGAATAGCCGCGACTTAATCACTGTGACAAAAGATTTGTACGATCCGAAGAGAAACCAGAGTATAGAGAAACCAGCACTACAGAGCACGTCCTGCCGAGGTGCACGTTCCACAGGGATATTCGCGCTGCACTCATTTCCCCACTGATGAGTCGCTTCCCGGGCCGTACAGAACAACAATATCTCTATATACCGCTGTCTGACACTAACCCCATGATTACATACGGTGTCGCTAAATTCTTTGCGGCCGTGATGGGTGTCCAAAGACAGATCCTGAGGGAGTGTGGCCCCACCAAGCTGGACAAGGACAAGGTCTGGGAATGTCACTGGTTTAAGATGACTGATATTTTCTCGAGGTATTTATGAATCCGAATGGGGTTTTAAGACAGACAACCTTTTATGTATCTTCTTCTTTTTTAAATCTATGTATTTATTGGATGGAGCTGGTCTTTGACCCCAATACAGTTTTTAGCTATCTATCGGTCTATCCATCCATCCTTCACTATGACAAAGCATTTCAAGTAACACGGAGTGACAGCTTTATGTGGAAAGCCATTTCAGTCCTACTGTTTAGGCAGAATCTAGTTCTGCTGCAGTCAATTCCCAAAATGGGTAGAGCGACTCATTGGCTACTTAATGTTTTCAGCTGTCATAATATATCACAACTTTTATTCCCATTTGTAGAGACTAAACCAGGCCACTTCCATTCCCAGAAAAGCCCGGAAGCTGACTGGCAACGCTTTCCAAAAGCCACGGCTCAAGAGATCTGAACTATCACAGAGTTCATGCACTTGCAGATGAACCGTAATTTATTAGAACCAAGGCTTATTGCCTGCGAGCTTCCTACTGCCGCCTGCGCCATCCCGAAGCTTCGTTGGTGTCCTTCCGAGAACAGCTGCCCTGCCCAAATGCCTTTGCTGCATCCAAAAACAGCAAGAGCAAATCTGACAAAATCCAGGTCCTGAGACTTGTAGTTTAACTTGTCCGAAAGTGTAACTGGCATCTTGTGGGATTACACAAAACCGTCATTTTGTTTCCAAGAATACAAATATGAGTGGCAGACTTAAAAATCCTGGAAACAGTTTTCAGATACTGAAATCCACCGTGTCCAAAATGTCATCCCTCCACTACAGGTATTTTTAAAATATTTTTCAGTACAGGTATTTTTTCCATTGGACAGTAATCAAAAAGAGTTCCCCAGATCAGCCAAACTAGGTATATTTTCCACGTCAGAATAAGAGGTATATTTTCTGGTCAGAAGAGGGGACCAGAGTGAAAGGTTTCCAAAATGAGGGTGACTTTTGGAGCAGGGATGCTCTTCTGGAGATGAACAGCTGCTCCGTTCCATTCTGTCAAGGAAACAGAAGTGATTCTGCATCGGCACAGAGAGCTTCCGGCCTAGAAACTATTTCAGAATAAAGTGAATCACAAGCTGGTGCGGAGTGGGCAGAAGTGAGAGAGTCTCTCACCATTTATGCCACATGCCGTTCATCCACTGGGAACTCATATTCATGTGCAACAACACCGAGCATCGGTTCTTCTAACTGGGAGCTGCAGGACAAATGGCAGAACTGAGCTAGCGCCCGACACTCGCCTAGGAGCTTAATCGGAAGGCTGACTGGATTAGGAGTAGGTAAGCCCTTTGGCAGGCTTTCTGCTAGCAAAAGAGGGTGTGCGTCCAAGGCAAACATCACCACTGGATTCACATCCACTTTTCTGAGGCGGTGCCCCAGGTTAGGGAGGAAGGTCCCATGACGCCAAAAGAAGGTACTCTGTGCAGAAAAACAGCTTTGGCACAGCATCAGCAGAGGTGCTCTCCAGAAGAAGACGTTCACTTTTCCAATATGGGTAATTGCAGTCCACAGTGCACTGCAGTGCCTTGCCACCGCACTCTGAGCCTTTCCATATTGTGTTGTGTGCAAACTGGAACTGAGTGGATTTAATTGGCATTCTTACCACTTGATGCACACAAAATGCACAACGTGGTGAGGTGCGAAACATTTTTACTGCGGCACAAAGGTTAGTCAGGCAAGTACCAAGGTAAGTATTCGCTTATTTGCAAATGCTTTGCTAAGGCACCTGGAGAAGGCAGTCTCACCTGGAGCTGCCTTGAAGGAAGACATCTGGACTCCTGTGAAGCACATGGACTCCTGGTTCTGGGGGTTTTGCATTAAAAATGGCTACCTTCTTCTGTAATCTCCCTGCATCCCAGTCATGGATGATCCGAACATTTCAAACTAAGCAGGTTTGTAACTTCATGGTTTCTCTAACTTTACTCTTGGGAATAAAGAATTAGCCGCTGGCTAAGCAGAGTAAAATCCACAGGGACTCCTTTACCTTTACCCTTACCTTTACCTTATTCTTGGGAAAGTAAGACGGTTAGAAAACATTGGTATAATATTCTTGTTGTATACTTGTAGCAAAACTTTTGAACTACCATGGAAAATAGTTTTTCTAGTATAAAAATGGGTGCTAGTTACTTCTGCATTTCATTTTTAATTTCAGCTCTTCATGTGCAAAGCAGAAGAGGAATTATTGCTTTTCCCTCTTCTCCTCCTATGAACATCAGTAAATCAGATCAAAAGCTTCCATTTCTGAATGAACTCTGCTTCTTTATGATATCTGAGCATGGGTTGATTCCAAGTCAAGTTTCCCAGCTTGATACAATCCAGCACCCTACAAAGAAAACATGTGGAACAGACCACGGGGTTGTACCAAGTTCAGCAACCCCCATGAATGGGTGGTTAAAATACTGAATCAGTTTGGTAGAAAATACATGTACCTCACAGTACCTCATATTACTATCTTCCAAGAAGCTACAGAAAGCCAGATTATAAAAGCAAATCTACGCTGCCTTTTAATTCTGTGACAAGAGGATGGAAAAAACCCCACATGCTTCCACTGGGCAGCAAGACCAAAAAGGTTTTCCTGAAAGTCCTAAACCTTTACAGGCAGAAAATTTATCTTCACTTTTGCGGTGTGGCTAAATCCTGATCAGCTCTAAATGAGACATCCCCGGATATGCCGTACCAGCCCATAACTAGCGATAATGCAAGCTGTGAAAAGTGAGTCATTACCTTCACAGGAGAGGCCGTGGGAAGTAACTCCAGAGAGACTTTCCCTGCAGACGTTGCAGAAGGTGGGTCGGGCGTGGGAGCAAGCGTACCAGTTATGCATCCCTGAGAAATGCTCCACATTAAACTGTGCAGTCTAATAAAGGAGAAGTTAAGACAAAATGGCACATACAAGACATCACTTCCAAAGTCACACCTGAAAGGCTCATCCTGCAAAGCAACCAGCCCCTTGAAATAAAAGCAGCACGAACAATAGACCCATCCCTTTATCCCCCCCCCCCTTCTGACTGCGTGAGTTTTCTATGATCCCGCCCTCCCTCTGCTCCACAGTAACTGCATCTTGAAAAACGGGCAGCATTTATAGAAAGGAGGGCAAGGCCCGCTGGGGTAGCGTCAACCATACCTCGTAATGTTCCCGGGACTGAACAGATTTCAGTGAGCTGATCCAATCCTCCATCTCTTTTCTGTTCTCTGCACACAATATTAACCTCCTGAATGGTGTGATTACCTGAAACAGATCTCTTGATAAACCACTCAGAATTGCCAAGGGGAAGCACAACAATGCCGTTGCTTTTAGTCCGCTAACGTGGTAATGCACGTGTTCTATGAAAGCTTATCATGAGGACAAGTTACCAATTGCAGTACTCATAAATGTTGGCCTGTGCAATTCACTGAGACCTCGCACCAGTTTTGCAACAGGAATTGATAAAGAGGAGCTATAAAAAGGCAGGCACAATTTTTATTGATAAATTCTGTTTGTGCGTGAGGCATTGGCCATTTCAAGTTGGCCTAGTGAAGATTCTGGGGCAGGAAAGAAACATTTCAGAATTGGGGAAAGGATATTGAGGGAGCAATCCTTGAGCCTTTGACACCAAGCCAACTGAGTAAAAATGTCCAGTGTTTCTGTTGTCTAAAAGTGAAGCCAGAATCTCTTTGAAAATGGAGGGAAAGAGGAGAACGTTCAGTTTGGATTCAGCTCTTCACAGGGACAAATGCATCGCTCACATCTCAAGAGAAATGTTACTTTGATTTATTGTAACTAATTAAGCTCTAGTGAAAGGACTGGGCTTCCAAATTCTCCTCTAAGTCTTCCAGAGCGGAAACAAGACCTGCTCACAACAGTGTGTCTGTGTGTGTGTGAGAGAGAGATTTATAAAGAGAGATGCTCGTCATTTACTTCTAGAAACAAATTTATGATCATTTCTTTTGAGAACACCAAGCCCAGGTTGAAAAGATATTTATTCCATTTCTCATGCTGACATTCACCAGGGCACTGCATGTATGCACTTTTACAATCATGTATTAGTTACCAGGAGAAGTAACTGCCTAGTAATTTAAAAACAAAACAGGGAGCAACACAAAAGAGAAATTAAGCAGAAGAAACCAAACAGCAATTCAGACTGGCTGAGGAAGGCTCATATTCCTACCCTCCACTTTAAAAAGCTTTTGATTTCTGAGCTGTAGGATATAAATAGTTTAAAGCAGAAAACATTCAAAGGAGCTGTTTTTCCTTGCTTGAACTATTATCGATTAGATTTCTCCATCTCCACATAGCCTCACTGTTTGAAAGGCTTACACTTACGCCTAAGTGCTTTGGAATTCTTATTCCTCATAAATTGGGAAGAGCTCTCTCTCACACATTTAGTTGAACAAGTTATTTACCAGGAGGGCTGTGCTATGTCTTTGTTCTATACCATCCTCAGCTAAACTGGACTTTAATGTATCTAGCAAGTTCAGTGACTGTGGTGCAGCTCATGAATAGCATATAAATAACAGCAGCATATAAATAGTTTAAAGCAGAAAACGTTCAAAGGTGCCGTTGAAGTAAATAGGAAGTATTTTTTTTCCTCCCAAGCATTTTACATTTAAGCTGCCTACAAAGCTGAAGGAACTCTCTCAATTGTCTATTTCCTGCCCTGTGTACACCTTTTAACACCTGACCATCCCTTTTCCTAAATATAACTGAGGATATAGAGAAGTGCATCTCTCTTTACACAGGAATGGAAACTTCTGATCACCAACTTTTCAAAAGACTTAATTGTAAACATAGTATTATTTGCATTACGTTTGAGAAACTATCCAGATTATCACCCATATGCTTTCCATAGTACTTTCATTTTTAATTACACAGTCTAGAAAGTTATCTCTTGGTCTACTTGCAACCAGGGTGTTTTGCCCAGGAAACTGAATGAGAAATGCTTCAAAACGGAACAGAGAGACTGATTCTGGAAGTATACAAGGTGGGGGCCAGCTTTCCACTGTACCGATTTCAAGCAAGCATGCTTATGCTGACACACAAAGCCCCACACGGCTTAGGATCCTCGTACCTGATAGAGCACCTGCTCCCTTATATCTTCCTGGATATTAAGACTGGGTGCCCTTTGATGCAACTATGTTAGCCTGGAGTTTGCTACGCAGCAAACCCAGGCAGTATGTATGTATGTATGTATGTATGTATGTATGTATGTATTTATTTAAAAATGTCTATGCCGCCCCATTCGCCGAAGCCTCAGGGTGGCTTACAAAACATCAGTTAAAATATAAAACACTAAAAATATAAAACACATTAACATTACAAAATAAGTCGCCCTGGCCAAGTATGTTATCAGTACAGCTCCTCCTCCTGTGACATCTTCTCTCCATCCCATGATGGTTCCTGTTCATTCTTACGAGCTTCCAGTGACAATTAAAGGCCTATCTGTTCATTTTGGCTTCTGATTTGTTTTTTCACTGCATCATGAAAGCTGTTATTTGCATTTGCCTGTTTAATTGATGTCGTGGCTTTGGACTATGTTATATGATCATTGCTTTTGACTGGGGGTATTCCACTTCAGAATTATTTTGTAATGGCAAGTATGAAGGCAATTTAAGAAATAAGGTACATACAGAACAATTTGGTAGCAAAGTGAAGTTCTTTTATAATACTGCCGTGATGGAAGTGCCTATTTCTCTGCTAGATTGGTTCAAATTCTTCACTTATAGCGAGGAAAAATGATAGCTGCTCCTTTCGCATGAACCAAGAGAAGAGCAACCTCAGAGTTGTAGCTGGAACATTTATTCAGGCCCAGTACGTTTCGTGTCAGAAAGTGCTTTAAGGCAACAAAACTCGTGTCTTGAAAGGACAGTGAAGGCCATTTTGCATGTTATCTGATAAAGCTAAGAACAGAGTGCTTGTTCTTTTCATATGACAGGTGAAAGTGGCCAAGGTAAATTTATGCTGAACTAGGAAAACTCAATAAGTCAGCTCTGGACAGCATCAGATTTCAGTGATAACGGAGCGGGTGTGAAGAGGGAGGGACAAAGAAAGAGACAATTTCAGACTTTTGGATACCTGAACCACGCTTATTCTTCCTGAATTGAAAATGTAAGCACACATTAAGCTTGCAACGGGGAAGGCTGGCTTCTAGAGGAAGGACTGTTTGAAGGAGTGCACCTGCCGAGCCGTGTTGCTTGCAACGACGAAGGAGGCAAGCCTGGGGCAGCGGTTCCTGTGCATTTCCCAAAATCGGGCTCCTCTGCATCCTTTCCTCAGGAATGAACGAGTGGCTGATCTCATCAGTTTCATCACCCGCTGCCAGTGGGACGGGAAGGACAAGAAACCCGTTTTTCCTATCAAGGGGTAATTTCTCATGGGACACTAGCGGTTCTCTTTCACAGTCAGAAAGGGCTGTTCCAATCCCACAGGTGGGCCAGAAGTGTGTTTTCAGGATAAAGCATCCCATGTCAACGAGTCCCACCTGGTGATCCCACTTTTGGCCTGATTCTGGCTTATTTCCAAAGATCTTCCTGGAATGAGAAGTTTGCTACTTTGGTTTTTCTGTGAGGGCCTTGCAAACCAAGACGGAAGGAAAAGCAAGTGACATTGGCGTCTCTTGCCGTAAGGAGAGGTGTCCTTCAATATCAAGCTGTAAATTGATAAACGAATAAATAAGTTCAGCCTGACCGTGCCTAGCAAACGAAGCGCACTCTCTAGGTCGTTAGCACAATGCAGCATCTTTCACTGAAAGGGAACCTCTGATCTGGCAGGCAGTGGCACATGACACAGAAAGTCGGTAGTGTAGTTCATAGACACCAAACTGTCAGCCGGAACTGTAAGCGACTTACACAGTAGGGTGTGGTTGAGCAAGTCACTGTTTCCAATTGTGTCAACTAAATCCAACCCTCACTTTCTTGGAATATTGCTGAAACTCTCCTCTTTGGTGCCCCCACGGCCACTGTCCGCATTATTTGCAGTCTGCCATTGCCTCTTCTCCTCGAGTTAATTCTACTGCCTTTAGGAACCTCAGCACACCAACACCTGGTGGGGGGTCCTAAGAAGAGGCGTCACGCCTCTTTCCACGCAGCTTGTCCTGAGCAAATCCCAGGAGGCCATTCGGAAAGTCCTGCCACTGCTTCCTGGGACGCCATGCCGTCTCTTCCAGGGCGCTCCCGTTTTTTCAGTGGTGGCCAATTCTTGAGGCCTTGGGCCCAACAGAAGTATTTTGGTTACCGGTGCTCCGTATTGTTTGCCCTCCTGCCTCAAACCACTCTTCTAATTCTTCACCACCACATTTTCTCCTCTTTCAGGAAACTTCTGCTTTTATCATAGACTTTCCCACTGGATAGCAATTGTTGCATCAGGTCATCACTAAGAGTTCAGATTTATACCTGTGGTGCTTCGGATGCCGATCCCTTTCCATTCCCTACCCCTTTTGTGCCTTAAGGAATGCGCGAGAACCTACAAGCTAAGGCAAGTGAAAATGGGAGGTGTCAAGGGCTGCCTGCATCCAGTAAACGTACGGAGAGCAAGTCCGTTTTCTGACTTGCTGTACCATCTTAAATCGTGCATTACACATAATATAGACAATCTAGACATAAAACATACACACGCAAATATAGGCAAACCACATATTATAGGCAATCTAGACTAGACAAATCTGCAAAATTTTTATACTTTGTCCCACTTTCAGGCAGGATGGACTCCCACATATTTTTTGTTCAAGAATGTGGGTATTTTTGAAGAACTAAAATCCTCCAACTAAACATGTCTCCATGCGTTAAACAGTAAATGCTTAAATAGCCACACACTTTAAAAAAAAACCCAAAAAACAGTGGATGAAATTCTACCAGAGTCAGTTTGAAATTACAGCCAAGTCAAAAGGAAAAAAAGTTTGCTGAATTGCTTAGTCAAGTATACCGTGAAGCTGTTGTTGACGTTTTTCGTGCTCGATTCAGCAACACTGGCATCCGACAGGTCGACTTCATCAAATATTAAGGACTGGGGGAAGAACAGACACACATGTCATTTCTAAGTGCCCCGTTGCTCCATCCCCCTATCATTTCAGGCTTCTTAAAAAAGCAAACCCACAAACGCCACATAAAATCAAGGTTCCTACACTTCAATAAAAGGTAAAGGTAAAGGTTTCCCCTTGACATTACGTCCAGTCATGCCTGACTCTCGGGGGTGGTGCTCGTCTCCGTTTCCTGGCTGAGGGAGCCAGCATTTGTCTGCAGACAGTCTCTGTGGTCACATGGCCGGCAGGACTAAACACCAAAGTGCACGGAACACTGTTACCTTTTCATCTACCTGCATTTGCAGGTTTTCAAACTGCAAGGTTGGCAGGAGCTGGGATGGAGCAACGGGAACTCACCCCGTTGTGTAGATTCAAACCGGTGACCTTTCAATCAACCAGCGCAGCAGCACAGCAGTTTAAACCACTGTGCCACCTGCAGTCCCAACACTTAAATACGTAGCAATTAAATTAATTTGGTAGCTCAAAAATGCAGCTGCGATGGGAAGGTTCTTGCTTAAAAAGGCCAGGATGTTTAATTTCATGCATGCAGAAAGAAATGCATCAGTACAATTGATATGTGGATTATTCCATTCCTGTAGATTATTAGGAAATTATTTGTGTACATAAATATAGCATCATTGTGCAGATATGGCCATATCTGACTTCATTTACTTCCTCCTAGAGCAAGAGGTATTAGCAGAAGCAAAGGGTGCTTGCCAGTTTTCATTTTCCTATGCAACTTGTGACCACCAGATATCTTAGCAAAGCTACCATAAATATAAAACTACCACAGGCTAGCCAAGCTGGGGCTGATGGCAAGCTGGGGCTGAGGTTTTGTCAGCCAAACTTCTGGAGGTCCACAAGCAGCCCACCCATTCCTGCTCTAGACTTCTGATACTTTTCAGGCAGATGCTGAAGGACAGCACATGTGCCCTGAACTTTACAGGCCTCAGAGTTTGAGGCATGCTGGTATCTCACAAACAGGGAAATCCAGTGAGTCGTCAGAAGAGGCCAATACTCCAGTCCTTCTGCCGAGTCCTTCCTGCCCTGGACTTTCTTTCTCAATCACCCTTCATTAAATGAATAGATAAATTCAGGTCATTTCAGCATCCTTCTGGATAATGTCCAGCAGGGAATCCTAACTCTCTTTTCATAAAACACTGAAGATGTTGATACCAAAATGAGAAGACAGCCCTTGTCTTCATTTCTCTTAGGTATCATACAAGAAAACTATATTAAAATGCAAATGATTTTATGAAGATAATAATAAATGAACTTTTGTTGTTTTAATTTAATTCAGTTTAAAAACTGAATTTTAGAACAGTAATATTCATAGCAAAAATGATCCTCAAAGTCAGTTGGTTTAGCCAGAAGTCATATTAATTACAAACAGAATAAATTACCTTCGAATCCTTGGCATAGTAAAGAGTACGGCCCCGAAGTTTAAAGTAACGCTTTTTCCACCTCTGGAAAGAGCTGGTTTGCTTCAGAAGTAATCCTTCCTTTATACTGGTCTTAAGGAAATAAGAAAAATAGATTAAGCTACGAAATTCTACATATGCCAAAAATGTCTCATGCACTGTATAATTATTTTCTTTCTAGGGAAATGAGAGTCAGATTCTGTTCTCCGAAGATAAAATGATGAAGTGTGAGACTCAAAGAATGTGTTTAATTATGGCTCCGCAGCCATCCAGTATCGTTCCGGAGAGAAAACGCGATGCCCGTGCCTTTCCCACACTCCCCAAACCAGCGCTTTATAGCAACGGCCTTCTCTAAATCAAACATGGATCTGAGCTCCATACCATGTGGGGCTCAGCACCATGTGGGGGCTGGAGAGAAATCTGAGGAAGACGGGGAAGAAACATGTTGTCTTCCTCCTCTTGCACACCAGACAAACACTGCCACTGACTCCTGCAAGGGCATGGCTGAACTGGTACTGGCACTTTGTTTTGGGCTGCACTGGCATAGCCTGGTGATTGGGCCTGGTGCTGTTGGAAGAACCAGGCGCTACGGTGCAAAGAGGCCAGGCACTCTCAGCTAGGTCGGTCTCCCGGCAGGGTTATCCGAGGCAGACTGGTGCAAGGTGAGATGAAGATGCACCAGGAGGAAGAGTCACACAGCACAGAATGGTTCCTTCTAGCAGTGACGGGGCAGAGAAGCTCCTGAAAGACAACTACTGAAGGTGACACCAGCCCTGGATCGTTCATGGACAACCGCAGTGACCCTCAGCCGAACTCTGGTTAGGTCTGTGCAGAAGAAGGCAATGGCCAACCACTTCTGAACATTCTTACCTTGAAAACCCAATGAAGAAAGAATCCAGCACGAGGCAAGGGACAGTACCAGAAGATGGGGTCACCCCCAGGTTAGAAGGCAGTTGAGAGGTCCTGAGGACCTCAAAGGACAAGTACCAACAGTGCTCTCACTAATGATGCTACTGGATCAAACCGAAAGGACATCCAGTGGCTGATATGGATGGAAAGTCCATCCTGCTCAGAGCCTCCAATCCGTACATGGAATCTGAGATGGGTGAATGAAGGCAAGCAAGGTACCGTAAAGCAAGAAATCAAAACAGTTAAGCATCGAAGAAATTTGTGCGAGCGCACTAAGTTAGCCTGCAATGAAGAAGAAATTGAAAACGTTTGGAAGACAATGCAAAACAAGACAGGCTGATCTTCACTGCAGGAAACAACAAAGCAAGTGGGAAGGGAAACAAAGCAGGGCCAAATGCCGCTGCTCAATTTGGCCCGAAGCCAGCAATGAAGCTTGAGAACATGGAGCCCTGTGAAGCCAACCCTTGTGTGCATTGCACAGGGATTCCTCACCCAGCAGGCAGGTGAATGTACACATGCACATCGCCAGATGCTTGACGCAAAAGTCAAATGAACTGTGCAACTGGAAGCATCTTGCTGCAAAAGCCAAGACCAGGCGCAGGTGGTAACAGTAACCACAAAAATTAGTATCAGAACGTTAGAAAGATCAGTAAGACTAGTACAGTGCCAAAACGCAACACAACTAATTTTGCTGAGGGTGTTACAGGCTATATAGCAAACAGATGTAGATTACTGAACACAAAACTGATATAGTATTAGGGAAGCATGCCAAAAGACAATACCTGTATTCCAAAAAAAGAAAAAAAGAAAAGAAAAAGCCTAGATGAATGACAGAAGAAACACTCACAGTTGCGACAGGTGGGTGAGAAGCAGAAGGCTCAGAATCCTGAAAACAACTTTTCAGGAACTATCCAAGAGAGACAAAAACAACTCTTGCAATGGTCAGTGTGAATAAACAGAAAAGAACACCGAAAGAGGAAAAATGCAAAACCTCTCCCAGAAGAGCTGAGAAATCCAAGAGAAATCCAAGTGTTGCAGCAAAGAATGGTGCCCTGTATGAAGCGGGAAATGCCTCATGCCCAAGCTGAATGTTGAAAAGGGAGCAGCAGTGGGGATTATGTTGCAAACCTGCACTGGCTACTGGAGCACATCGCAGAATTTGGAGGAGCAGCCCACAGCAAAGGCTTGGCCTGTGGAGACCATGAGAAGCTCCGGGTGGCCCTAGAGGAGACAGGCGTCCCTCAGCGCCTGAATGACCTGCATGGTGGCCAGGAAGTTACTGTTAGGCTGGAATATGGAGAAGCAGGATGGGCTCCTTTGAGTAAAGAGGTCGGACAATGGTGCATTTTATCTCCCTAACTGGTCCACGTGCCACGAGGAAAGCACTCACACACGTGTTTGCATGAACCTGTCCTGAAAACGCTCTGTCTCGATGGGAAAAGAAAATGCATTTCAAAGGAGGGGCCTGACAGAGCAGCGGGAGCTCCGAGTCCAGACCCTTCTGGCCGTGCCTTGTCGGTTCCCACGCTCACACAACTCAGCGGTCGCACAAAGGTGGCCAATAACAGGAAGAGCAGCCAGCCTAATTGCACGGATGGTTGTGTGAAAAACAAAATCAAAAAGCCACTGACGGGACTAAGAGGGATTCCACTTGGCCCTTTGCAAGGGCCATCGAAACAGGGATTCTGGGAGCCGGCTGGGAGAACAGGGGGTGAAGGGCCAGCAATCCACAGGAAGGTGGAGTGGGCTTGCAAGCACGGCTGGGGCCCTCCAGACAGCGGCCGTTGCTCCAAGGGCCACGTGGGCACGTGGGTGGCTGGCCCAGGTGGATGCCTGGGCAGGCTTGGCAAGGGCCGCACGGTGCCTGCAGCCTTGGGTCCAGCCGCGTTCCCTCTCCATCCCCAGCCCTCGTGGCCCGTTGGCTTGGCTCGGCTCGGCTCGGCACACCTGGGGCCTGATGCTTGGCAGAGGGCAGCAGTGCGAATGTTCCCAGCACGGAAACCGAGCCTCTGGAAGAACAGTCGCCCCATCCTGATGGATCAGCTGAGTGGGAAGCCTACGGTGGGGCAACAACCGGCCTTCCAGCCTGAAACTGATCCTCTCCACTCTTTGCTCAGGCTTACGCTCAGGCTGCGTCGCCGCAGAGCCAGGAAGCACTGAGCGAAGGGGGCCACAGTCCTGCGCAGCAGAGTCCAAGGCCCCAGGGGAGCCCCTGTAAGCACAAACAGCAGCACGCGTCCTTCTGCACCAAGCGGTTTCCTTCCCCCGCAGGCGCCCTCCGCTCCGTCCAAAATTCTAGCCAGCTGCCACAAGGTGGCAGTGCCACGGGATAGAAAGAGCCCCTGCGTTCATCTCAAGCTGCTCATCTATTTTACAGAACACGCAGCAAACGAACACAAACTCGGTTATTTATCTGCATGCGTCGCTGTAAACTGCTAAATACTTTTTTGCGCACAGCATCACAATAACTGAATTATGTCAGTCCCGGAACACCCTCGACTTTCCATATTTGTGTGCAATGCTGCAATTTCCATTTCTCTTTGCCCCCGTTTCAGTAAAATTTTGAATGAACAGATATGGATGACTTTTGTATCCCTATTTGATGAGAGTTAACTGCCACTAATGTAAGATTTATCCATATACCCCAACGATAATTAATACGCAGCTATTTCTCTAATTAATCAAAATTTAGTTCAATCCATAATGAAACCTTGTTTGCTACTTATGATTACAAATATGAATCGATTAATATCCACATGGAAACACCTCCCACACTTCAGTCCCACCTCTTTGAGCGTCTTGCAGGCATACAAACACCCACAGCTTGTGCTGTGTGGAACTGCAGGATTTGCTTCTATGCAGCATCTTCCATTCCCAGAGAAGCTGGATTACAAGCTCCGCATCAAGAAGTAAATATCCTGGTGTAGTTCTCTCTTACACCATTTAACTCCCTGTATCTTTTCCCCCACTGTCAAAATTTAAATTATAAACCCATTTAAATATGACCTGGCCCTGCAAAAGGCCCGGAGATTTGGAGATTAAGGCCAAGATTACACACACTGCTGTATTCCTGGTCACCAGGGATGGTGTTAAAGCTGGGCTGGGAAGGAAGGTGGCAGGAATGAAATTGCTGCATGCAGAAGATGGTTGAGGAGAAAGATGGATGATGCAGGAGAGCTTTGTGAAGATCCAGGACCAACAGAAAGACAAACAAGTAAATCCTAGATCATATCAAGCTAGATCTTTCTCTAGAAGCAAAAATGACGATTTTGGCATATCAGGAGAGGGCCAGACTCCCTGGAGAACATGATCGTGCCAGGGAGAGTCAAAGGCAGAAGGAGAACAGCCAAATAAGAGAAGGATCAAATCCATAAAGCTACAGCCCTGAATCGCCTGTCACTGAGCAGACTCACTGGGACGGGGTCAGCTTGTTGGCAGGCAACATCAACAAATGGGGCCGAATCATAATTTAAATTCCTGCTTCGTCAGCTCCGCATACAGTTGAACTTGAGAACAGACTTAATGTGATTCTCACTGCAGAAGACTTTTTTTTTTCCCCCAAAGCCACCATCGATTCTCCAAAGATTGCATTATCTTAGGAAGAATCACTGAAGGCCAGACTAGAAGATACACCAAATATTGTAACAGCATGTTCAGTTTTCGACAACAGCCAGGTGGGAAGGAGAACAGACCAGAGAAGGTAAAGCAGGAATGCAAAGAAACAGGGGTGGAGATTTTTGCTTTCTTCAGAGGAAGGGCAGTAGCCTCTTCTGGCTGAGATGGGCTACTGACCATCTGACTGGCCAGTGAGCAGGAGACGACAGCCAAGGAATGGACCCACTCAGAGGGCCTCCTCAATACCGGGCTCTCCCAAAGGAATGGCCACAAGAAATCCTCGGTTACGGGGCACTGCGGATCCGTCAGCTTGCATCAAATCTGTAGGTGGATGCAGTAATGGTGCGCAAGTGTCCCATGCACGGTTTCTAACTCTGCCAAAATCAAGTGCAACTAAGAATATGGCCAGGTTGCAGTCCGTGCAGCGCAGGGCCACAAGGCTGGTGGCCAGTTTGCAGGGCATGCGTATGAGGCGAGACTGAGGGAGCTGGGTCTCTTCAGCCTGGAGGAGAGGCGACTCCGAGGGGATCCGTTGGTGACATGCAGGCATGTGAGGGGATGTCACATGG